TAATGTAGAGAAGAGTCTCCGGCAACAGGTGAGCTAAACAGACCATAGGTGCACCCGTCGCTCATCATGCACGAGTACAAGATTTGGATCTCTGAGCTCGATCCCCAGTGCTTGGGATGAACAGCTGACTCTGTTCCTACAAGGACTGGGAGTGCGCCAGAGAACCGAATGGGCAAAAAGCAAGCTGTGTTGAGCTTCTGGCACGCGCGAGGTGGTCTGAGATGATGTTGCCGGGCTCTGAGCTTTGGTCGGAGTGTTTGGTTTCGCTTTGTGAGGCATGAGCCAAGGGTTGACGGGGCCGAATGCTGCTTGAGTAAGCCACGCTTTGATTGTATGGCATGGACAGCTGTCCAGCTGGACGCTGGCAGTGAGTATTTGATGCTGCACTGAAGTCCACCAAGTGCCTTGAGAATTGGAGGTGCGGTCACCGCCGCAACACCCTGGGTATTATCATGTTGACGTTCTCGTGGGGGCCTGAGAACAGATCCTTGGCCTGTGGATTTGAAACCAGTGACGGATGTGCCGGCGGATGTAATGGGCCCAGCAAAGCTGTCTTTCAGAACCTGTGCAAATCCATCGGCGGGAGGGTGATCATTTTGACCTTGAGGTTTGTGCTCTTCAACGTTTGCTGTGCCATAGCCTCCGTTTGCGCCTTCTCGGTGAAGATGCTGGTGCTGCTGCCACTTGTTTCGGGTAGGCGCCGACCCTGCACTGTGCAGACGGATCCTTTGGGGGCTGGGTGGCTGGCTGGGGGCTGGGTGGCATGACCCTTCCAATCAAGCAACCTGTATGTTTACCTTTCTAAAACCATAGATTTCGATCAGGCAGTTTGCCATAGTCAGAACCATAGCTTTGCATCAGAACCGGGAGTAAGGTGCTTGGCCCCTTCCCAAGGCTTCAGTGACCCCGCGACCGGCGCCGGCGAGCCAGGCCGTAAGCTTCAAGCTGGTGAACCCGGATGTGGCAGTGCCGGGGGCCAAGTCCAAGAGACTGCTTCGAAATCGAGGGCCCGAGGGAGGGCAAAGGTTCAGAGTTGAACTGAGGGCACCTCGGATATCTTTTGGGAAGGAGATGTTGAGACTGATTTTGGGCTCGCAGCAGGAATCCGGAAGCTTCTTCTCGGCCTGCTTTGCACAAAGCACTGCGAGGTGGCTGCGGGTGGCAAGCATTCTAGCCCGAACCTTGGAAAATCTCGGAATGAGGTATGAGCAGCTGACTATCTCATCGCGAATGCGACATGGGTACCCATTTTTGGATCAGTTCACAGGGAAACCAACAGGAACACAAATTGTGCGCCTCCCTACACACCCATATTCTGAGGCGTTACGTTTGCAATGTGTTTGGCTTCATCATTCTCATCGTTTGACACCAAACAAGCTGGTATCGACTTGGAAGCAGGGCCCCATTCAACCGTGTGGCTTATTGAGCAGTTGCCGAACCTTCCTCCTTGAGTGAGCAGCTTGTGAGGCAACACTCAACCAAGTCGTCGGAGCAGTTTACATCGAGCGGGTGCTGCAGGAGACATCTTGACGGGTGATCCTGTGTAAGCCATTCTGGCTAGATGATCCACTCTTCAGGAATTTCATTTAGCTGACCCAACTTTTTATGTGCAACAGGCCAATTGCGCTTTTCTCAGTTTTTTTCCTGATTTTGCTTGCAGCTTGCAGGAACGCATCTACCTCTTCGTGTTTGGTGGCCGAGATGCCATCTACGAGGATGATGAGCTTGCCTACCGCAACGCACCTCCAGCCCGCTTGAAAGAACAGTCAGCCGCAGGCAAATGGAATCCCCAATCCGGGGCAGTAGCCCAAGGGGCCTTTGGTACTGTGGTAACCCCAACACCTTATGGAGGGTTTAGTTATTTGTGTTGTAAAACATAGCTAGCGCCTTCACAGGCTCCGCAAGTCCTTGCCTTTCAACCATCTTGGTAGAATCGAACTTGATTGGTTTGATCGCTGCTCTGAGACAGGCTTACGAGACTAGGCTGATGAAGGAGTGTTGTCCTCAGATGCTGTGGTGAGACTCTCACAGCGTACAATGACCATGCGCATGACCTGGGAGGCCCCTGAGTTTAGTTCTGGCATGTGGATGGCACGGGAGCCGCTGTTCTTTTATTCATGTTTTGTGTTAAACCTCCATTTTACCTTTTCGTTGATGGGCCCCCAAGAAAAGGGTTGAGGGCCGAACAATGAAGGATTGTCACATCATGGGCTGCGTGTTTTGATTGCAGATTGCTTACAGCCATTCCATCAAGATACGTTGCAGCTCTGGGCTCTCGAGCCAAGGATTTGGACCACGTACTACAAGAAAGGGCCAGGGCCCTGACCTCCGGGAATTCCGAGCCTGGACCCATCTGGACCCGCGGACTCCCGTATCCACTGGAAAACCCCATAGAAATTTGAAGGCCTGTGTAAAATCTCGTCAGGCTCGCATGAATCCCAAGAGCCTAGGTGAATACGTTTTACGGAACCTGCCCTCGGCCAACTTGCTTGCTGTCACCTTGGCTCTTCCCACGCCATGGTTGACCTAGCTGGCCTTCAGGACGGCTCAATGTTTCTATTCGCAGCCTTCACTTTGAGCAACTGCTACTAGTACTTGCTGCTGCGTTCCAAGCGGGGAGTGAAATACTGTATGAGTTTTTCTTACCACCTGCATTGGAACATGAGGCAACATTCGCTACGGGCTTCTTCGTGCCCACACCTTTGGACCACAGGGTCAGAAGACTCTAACCCGATTGATCTTCGAAAAAAGGAGAAAGAAACAAGAAACAACACACACACACACACACAAGTCGCGTATCAATGGAACTGGTACGGTAGCCACAAGAACAGGCGGAGCTCCCGGCCGAGGAAGTGGCTGCGCGCCATCGTGCTGCTGGCCACGCTAGATCACTACGACCTGCAGTACCTGATGATCGAGGATCCCGAGGCATGGCGTGGTCTTTCGTGTGCCTCACAGAGAGGGAGCCAGCTAGAAAGAGCCAGAAAGAGAGAGAGAGAGAGAGAAACAACGAGAGAGAGAGAGAGAGAAAAAAAAGAACAGATTAGAATTAGGAGATCATTCTGGCACAGAGTGTTGAAGATGGGAGGCTGACTGAATGTTGGGGGCCCTTGTAGTTTCTTGGAACGATATTGCCTCGGGTTCGGGACAGTCGCAGGCATGCCTGGGGCCTGAAAATCCCGCGTTACTGCTCTGCCAGCACTGAAATTGCACGTGGCAGGATTTGTTGAGGTCCAGGATATTGTTCCAACCCCACTCCGCATTCCATGTGCTGTTTCAAGATGTGATACCCCAAACAACGTGCTTTTGTAGGTGCACCACTTGAAGAGACTGCCAGATCTGGCCATATTCGCCAGGAAGAGATCGACTTGTACGACAGGTTAGGCCTCGTGTCAGCCTCTCAAGCCAGGGTTCGGAATGTTGGTAGATCGTCTCCATCAATCGGTAGTACCTCGTACTTTCCCTGCCTGAACGCAGCCGCGAACGGGATGAACATGTTTTCTGGTGGGACTAGCCTTCGCCACGGTCCTTCGTTGGCAGTCACAGTTCAACCATTTTCCGAGGAGCCGGGAGAGAGCAGGAGGGATGCATGATGAACCAACGCGGTCCCTTTCTGCGCCGGGCAGCTTAGTCCCTCAGCTCCCAGACCTGCAGACCGCTCACGTGGGGAGTACAAAGAGAAAGTAGCCTTGGGGATCCACTTGACATTATCACTATCGCGGATGTTTGGAGCTGCCTGTCTCCACAATCGACGAAACCCTTTAGAGGCACAAGATGCGCCGGAAAGGCTTGCACAAGGACCTTTGGCGACACAAGCCCACACACACACAGTAACTTAACGTAGGCGTTCGCTTCTTTGCCAAAAGCAAGCCAGGCTTCTTTAGGACATGTGTCAGAGCCGCTGGCTCAATGCTCAAGCTGTGCAATTGTTAATGTCTATAAAAGTAGCTGGGGCAACTAGAATCCTGTGTGTGATCCTTATGTTGAATCAGGGAGGTTGATTTCGTGCCGTGAATTGGGGAGCAATGCGCTCATGGAGCGCTATCAGTAAGATTTTACTTGGTGTCATTGGCTTTTAGGGGGCGGACAACTACCGATAACCGGGATGCCCACAACAGACTCCATGACCAGTTGCCCACTGAAGTGGTTTACAGTTGATCAAAAGTCTGGATGATTGAACAAATCCAGCAACAGGAAGTTACACAGGAAGCAAACATGGAAGTAAGCCAAACTCCTGGAGTTTGGTATATTTTTTTCGAGCTTCCAGATGTTCATTCATGTTGCTCGTGTCTTAGAACAGAAGGATCCAGCCAGAGGCACACCTCACCAGCGTCGTGAAAGCTTCTCTGAGGCCTGACAACCTCAGCCACAAAAAGCAGAGGTCAGTGCAGAATGCGAAGCAGGCGCCGGGGTGGCCGGATTCCGGCGACTTGGGAATTAAGCACAGATTAATGTGAAAGACGTCCTCAAGGGACATACCTTAAATCCGAAGGCTGCATAGTGATTTTGGGAATGTACATGTGAGGCGCTTGGGTTGGTTGCAAGTGATGACCAAAGGTGGGCAAAAGTAGCATTGTGAAGATTCATTTACTTGCCGACAGAAAGGGAGTTGTGCCATCGAACAAATGAGTGTCAAAAGGACTTTACCCCTCACGCTCAATGCATGTTCGACGTCGTGTCAGACGATTCTTTGTGGACATGAAAGGCTTGAAGGGGGACTACACACGTATATTGCATGTATGTGTATGTGCATAGGCATAGTGTATACGTATTTGCATAAGTCTTCGTACATAGGTCTATGTCTATGTACCGTATACACATTTTGACATGGATGTCCACATATTTTTGTATGTTAGCCTCTAGATACAACTATATACATATACATGTATACATGGTTAGGTGTATATACATATATATATATGTATATGTATATATATATATACACATGTTGCATGCTCAGCAATACGATGCGCATATTTGGCTTCCCAGGCCCAGGGCGCTGTTCGGAACGGTTTCAGGTGACGGAGAACTTGGATCTGCCGATCTGTGCGCGGCTGTGGGAGGGGTCCGGAACCTCGGAGAGCAAACCCAGGATCGGAACCATGTAAACATATGGGCGTGTCTTGTTTTCAAGGGATTCCCCCCAAAATGGTGGTGTTCCTTTTGGTTTTCCTTTAAGACTACATCTATCATATATATATATATATATATATATATACGCGTATGTATGTATGTGTGTGTGTGTGTGCGCGTTGGTTTGGGGGTAGCCTTTTCAGGTTGCTTTACAGGGAAAAAAGACAAGCACCATTTGTGGGGTCCCCCTATTTTGAGAATCTGAGACTTCATTATGAAAGGTCAGCAGCGTCGACACACATAATTCCTCTGATTCTGGCGCGTATGGGGGTGGTTTGCCCCAACCCTGTCCGAACTCTGCTCTCCAAATGTGCAGGAAAACCCAAAGCATGGAAAGAATCAGTGCAGTGTCAGCCAACTTGCAACCGGTTCCAACTTGAGTAAGTTGTTACCGCAATCCCCCCCCCCCGCCCCCCCAACCCCCTCCCCACATAGAGCAGCACGATTCGGCACGATTTGCCGCAGCCGGAAACACGCCGCTTTCCAACTACCTCGCAATTCACCTGAATGACACAGTGTGACTGCCTTGCAATTTTCTCATGGCATTGCAGCTAAGATTGATGGTAGATGGAGTGGAGAGCAATACGGGCTCGTAAAACAGCAAACATTGTATTTGCGTTGGGTTCAGACTGGTTTCTTACTCTCGTTGCCTCCCTTGGGTCCTTGTTGAAATCAGTACTGGCATGCCTGTGGCTGGGCAAGCGGAACTGCCAACCATCTTTGAGAAACTGACAGGAGGTTGGAGGCGCATAGATCGACGCCACCCTCTTTCCAAGTGGACAATTGGCGGCCTCCCCAAAAAGAAAATTCCAACGCCCTCCTTTGAGCTTCCATTATTGGGAGGGTAGCCGCTGAAACTCCAATGGAAAGACCTCCCAAAGCCACGCGTTGTTCGCTTGTTTCGCGTTGGCGATGCCGCTTGCTCTTGTGACTGGGTTCTATCCTTTTTCCCAAGAAATTGGCTGGGAAAGCTTCCCACTGCACTTGCATTTGAGGTCAGGATGTCTGCCGGGAACTGACAGAGTCCACTCCAACCCCGACCTCCTGGAGACAGTCCAAGAGGTCGAGGTGCGCAGCTTGGTGGTACCAGATGTGTCATTGATTCAGAGAATACGCTGTGGAAGGCCGCACGCAGTCATGGTGCCGTGTGCTATTGGAATCATGAGCATCATGCTGACAGGAGCACCATAGTTCTCCAGTTGCCCATGGCTTAGCACAACATGCGATTCCGGAGTCGAATGCTCATTCTTTGCTCGGGCTTCCATGTGGGGGTGATCAAAGGGTCCTTTAAATGGGGTGACCACTAGGGAAACCACACAAGAACACGGCTTTCTGCAATGACCGGGGGTCAAGGAGGCTCGCAGCAGCCGAAGCGCACCTTTGCGCTGAGATCGAATGTCCACGCGCCCAATGGCGCGGTCGCAACCGTGGCTCGGTGTCGAGCGGACAAAGGGGCCCCTCTGTCTAGGGCCATGGTGGCAGCAGTGGATCAACAGTTGACATGTCACAACCGAAGGAATCGCATGGGCCAAAAACCTTTCTCAACTGCTGATCCCGTTGCTGATATGCCGTCACGTCCTTGATGGCAGAACGCCCTTGGCCGTGGCTCTTGCGAGCTGAAGTGAAGGTGTTGTCGTATGCAACACTCCACAGGCCTGTTTGAAGAAACTTGGTGAGACCCAGGCGACACTCAGCTTTCTTCTTGGTCAAGGCGTCGCCGAGATCATAGTCGCTGGCCACCCAACGAAGTTCAGCTCCGGTTCGGGTGAGATGCTCCCGAAGTTGAAGAGCTTGAAGCGCGGCTCTTGCGTTGCTCAACCCAAGCATTGGTGACTCGTTGTAGATCACCGCATCGTAGCCGCCTTTGCTGTCGGTGGCCAGAATGCCTTTGATGCCGCGGGCCATGCGTTCAGCCCATTCCACCCTGTCTTCGTGTGGGGTGAGATCGTGACCGGCTCCATTCATTTCGCACCAGAGCACGCGGATGCGGAAGTTCTGGTCCTCGCCATCCAGGATTGCCTGGACTTCAGCATCATTTGAGGATATGGCCTTGCGGCGCAGCTTCCAGCTTCGCCATGCCAGGGGTGCCATGTATGTGACCTTGCCCTCGCTGGCATGAGGTCCAGTAGCAACTGAGATCAAGCCGCCGGTGGAGTCCATCTTGCTGCGGTTCGCGTGGGCTTGGTCGCAGAAGGTCACAAACACCATGTCTCGCCATGACTCGACTCCAGGTGGTTTCTTGTAGTGCAGCTGGTAGGCGTGCTTGCGAATCTCGCCGACTAGCTGTTGAAGTTCCAGCGCCGATTGCATGAGGCGCTTGGTCGTGATTTCAGATGCAAGTAGGTTGCACCTGGCACAGAGCTGCGGCTGAGTCTGCAAGGCCAGCCATTGAAGACTGCCCCAGGTAGTGCGGCAGGCAGCTACCTCCTCAGGATTCATGACCGCATTCTCTTGACGAAGGCGATCGGGATCAATGTTCACATCGGCGATGGAGTCGATGTAGTACTGCTGATTGATCTTTACCTCCACGGAGCCGTCCTTGTTGATGATGGAGGTCAGGTCGGTTCCGGCGTGCCGGTAGTTGCCACGTTTGGCAGTGCCCCACTCGTAGAGCTTGTCGATCTGGGAGCAGACCTGAACCCACTCAGGCGAGAGGCGATTGCCACAGCGATGGAAATCATCCACGTGGCCGCCCATGATGCCAAGTACCAGGGGGATGCCGAAGGCGTCCTTCTCCGTGGCTGACTGCCAGATCCAGATGCAGCGTTCACCAATGAGTGGTTTGCCGCCAATGGAGGCTAGGCGCCGGTGAAGGTCCAGCCAGAGTCCCCTTGGTGCGGTCGTTGAGCCGTAGATGTTCTTGAGGATCTTCATGACTCCGTCTGCTGGAACATCCAGGGCTTCACGAAGCTCTGATACACCGCGAGTCCACAGATCTTGATCCGCCTCTGTGGGCTGCGTCTGCAAGAAGGCAGTGGCCAAATCGAGACCTTCAAGTTCCCAGCCGTGAGTGCAGGCCATGGTGTACAGGAGGTTTCTTCCCAGCCCAGACTGCACAGGGCTAGAGGTCTTGAACTCAGGCCGAAGAAGGTCCGGATGTTCGTAGCCGAGAAGCACAATGCGTGCTTTTGCCTTGCGTTGACCGTCCTTGGTGTAGGTGGACTTGGCGTTGGATTTCGCCTCGGCTTGAGCTTCTTGAAGATCTTCTGGAGGTGTTGGTTTCCAGGTGAGAACCCATCTGGCTCGCATGATGCGGCCAGAGTCGAAGGCCTCGCTGACCTCCTTGTTGTCCAGAGCCTTGCGAACAGCCTCAGATTTGATGAAGCTGCTGACTTCCTTGGACTTGGCTCTGCTGAAGAGTTCCCTGTGTTCAGGAGAGAGGCGGGAGAGCGCAACCTCGCTGTCTCTCATCTTCTTGACCATGAAGGCCGAGGCGTCCCGGAGGAAGTCCTTCTCCTTACGGTGGGAGTTAAGGTCAACGTCAAACTCGATCTTCATCACCTCCTGGGAGTCGATGAGGAGCTGATGGAGATCACCTTCAACTTGGTGTAGTTCCTCGAGCCAGCCCAGGTCATAGCCGTCGGTACGCTGCTTCTTGTTGTCTGGCTCATAGCTGTTGGGATCTTCAGCTGCGGGATCAGCGCTTGGACTTGAGGTGCCAGGTAGATCAGGTGGTAAGGCTTGAGGTTCAGTCGAGGTCTCCGGCATGGATGGTCCCATAGAGCTGTCCAGTGACTCGGGAGTGTAGTCCGGGTCGTCCGCCATGAAGGGTACATGAGCAGGACGTGGAGGAACCAGAAATGGTGCGGACTTCACACGGATCCGCCTCTTGGGGATGTCGATGGTCTCCTTGTTGGGGAGATCGGGCAGATCAGGCTGCTCTTGTTCATCGACTCCGGGTTCATCGTCGGCAAGATCGATGAACTCCTTGTTGGGCAGCATGTCGGAGAGGGAACGCCACCGGGAGACGTCTTCCTTAGCACTGATCTCGAACTGGGTCTCCTCCAGGGGCGTGGTAGGTCTCACGGAGTGGACAGAGCAGCGCAGGAGCTGGTTCTGCAGTAGCACCCAGACGATGTGCCTTCGGGCGTCACTTGGTTGTTGATGTGGAAGGATCTCGTGAAACACCACTCGGCCAGGACCGATCGTCCGGATTTTCGAGCACTGCCCCGCTTGCCAACGTAAACGTGGGATGGCCATTGCTTGCGCCATACCATCACGAGTTGCATGGGATGGAAGGTCCTGATGGGCTGTCTCACAGTCGAGTTGCTGAGCTTGGAGAGGACACGAAGGGCACGGGTTTTGCGTGCTACTTGTTCAGCACTCTGACGCAGCTGGACTAGACGTGCGTAGTCGTCGTCGGGCGACTCAGGAAGTGTGGCAAAGGTTCTCACGTCCTCATCGGTGATGGAGTAGTCCTTGCCGTAGCACCACTGGAAGGATGAGTACCCTTTGACGTACTCGGTTGAGTTGAGCGCGGCGATGGCCAGGTGCAAGGTGATGATCGGGTCCTGAGAAGGAGAGCCAAGCTGAATGGCTGATGCTGTCATCTTGACGTCCTTGATGGCGGACTCAACTTGGCCATGTGCCCAGCTTTCCTTTTCCGCAGGAGGTGCAAGTTGTACACCGATGTCGGACAGGAAGTCGCTCACGTCCCGAGAGACCAGGGTGATGCCGTTGTCAGGGATGACGACTTCTGGCCGTGGTTTGTCGGCCAGCCACCGTTCAGCTAGACCTTTGATGATGTCTGCCGAGCTTTCGCTCTGCATTTGGAGGACATCGTAGCACTTGATGACATGCACAGCTCGGAGACGTGTGGCCAGGTCCATGATCAGCATGAATTTGAGCTTCAGCTTGCTATTGGGTATCACCCACTCGGTCACGTCGACGCCAATAGCTTGCCAGGCGCGGTACAGTGGATGCGTGGATGCCGGTGGTATACTTCCGGAAGAGGATCCGCCAGGTCGAAGAGCATCACACGAAGCACACTTGAAGTCGCGAGCCATTTGAACCTTCCATTCGGGTAGCCGAGCATCTCGAAGTAGGTGCACAAGGTTGCGGTTGGTGGGATGCCCAGCGGCCTTGTGGAAGTGGTGTAGCTTGGCAGACCAAGCTCGGTGTTCTGGACCATCTTGAGGTACATCTGATGGCACAGACAAAATTGCTTCACTAGCGGGGTGACCATCTGCATGGAGTTCTCCAGCATGGAGATCATCACGAACATGACCAGGAGGTAGAGCTAGGGATTGAGTTGCCTCCCAAGGTTCGCGATATGGTGTGAGGGATGCATGCGATGGCCGAGTTGGGTCCATGGAGGTGATACCGTTGTGCTGGTAGTGCTTGAAGTTCCAGTGGTCGTCATCCAGGTTGACGTCCTTGTCAGACAGGTTCTGACAGGCCGAGAGGTACTTGAGGTACCGTTGTGGAGCAAGTTCAGATAGCCATCCGCGGACGATGGCTTGCACGAGTCGCAGTGGATAGTAGCTGGAGCGGCTCGTCTCTGCTCCTTCTATTCGTGCATGGTTGTGGTTGTTGGTGCAGACCCGAGCGCGGAAGGTCTGATGGAAGCGCTCATCGGTGGTACGGATCAACCACCGTTTCTTCAGGAGGTCAGTGCCGGCTTTGTTGGTCATGCCATAGCGACAGCCGTCAACTCGGCAGGGAAGCCAGTCCAGACCACGAGCTCGTAGACCTTCACGAAGGTCAACCACTGGTTGCTGCTCCCACCCAGCGCAGGGATGGGTCCATTCCCAGTAGATGTCGAAGTCCGGGTCCTCGTCGAGGGCCTGCAGGATGAACTGCTTGGCGTTCTTGAGCATTTTGCGTTCTCGACGTCGGGCTGTTTCAAGGACTTCTCGACGTTCCGGGGTGTTGTAGTTCAAGTTGGTGAATTGGCACCACTTGGTACATGGGAAGGAGAACCAAATGCGCTTGGGTCTGTGTTGTCGCTGTAGGTCTTGAAGGCGTACCCACGTCTGGGGGTCGTAGATGTCAAAGCCTGCGTTGTAGTTGATGCGGCGTGCTGGTAATCCATGATTTTGCACTTCGGAGGTGAGCCATGAGTTGTCGGAGCAGGCCACCTCCCACAGGAGATCCCGTTCGTCTAGAACCATGGAAGCCGTGGCGTTCGCGAGGTTGGTGGTCATGAGGCTCATGAGTTGTAGAAGTCGCAGACCAACAGAGTTGGGGAGCTTCTTCACGCCATCGGTTCCGCGTTGGGATTGTCCCCGAAGTGCTGGGTCTTGCGCATGGTCAGGGTGTTGAAGAGCTCGAGTTTCTCCTCCTCGGTGAGGTGCTGATCCAGGTCCGCCAAAATCGTGGTGGCCCTGTGCTCCACCTCGCGAGGTGGTTCGGAGGTCGTGGACATCTTCTCCCAGCTGTGAAAAGACTCCGCCTTCTGCGCAGGGCGCTCCTTGGACTTGGAGTTCATCCCGGAAGTTGCCGTTGAGGATGCTGCTTTCTTCGAAACGGACTTTGCGATCTGGATCTTGTGGAACAGCTTTTCCTCGGCGTTGATCTTCTCCTGCATGGCCAGGCAGATTTCCGAGGTCGGGCGCACGTCGCCCATCAGGTCCTGGAGCTCCTTCAGCATCCTCGCCACCATGCCGGGATTGTGAGTTTGGGTGCTGTTGGCTGGGCTGCCCTTGCGAGGGATGTAGGACAGCCTCAGATTGCATATTTGGCAATGGTTCCACTTGCCATGAGCATTGCTTCCGTAGCTGCCCGGCAGATGTCGGGCGAAGCATGGCCACTGGTCCGGATGACTTCGAGGGTCCCGAGGATCCAGGGGGACACTGCGGGTCTCGTCGAATTCCTTGACACCCTTCTTCTTTGGGACCGCCTCCTTGATCTTTGACAGCAGGTCCATGGTCTCCAGATCGTCCGCGGTCGGAACCGGGGTCGTGTAGGCCATGGGACTCGGAGGTGGTACCAAAGACTGGGGTGTCACTGGTAACCTGGTTAGCTAACATCTGAGCAGATGCGCTACGGAGCCGCATCATCAGTGCAACTGTCCGGGTGTCAGGTGGTGCATGTTCAACGTGCAGGCAATCATGCTCTGGGGAATCCAGTTGAACACGGAGCGTGTGGAATTCCAAAACCTGACAATCATTGATACGACGTTGCCCGGCACCACGAACATGGATCCTGGGGTGACCCTTACCATTGCTGAGACCGTTGGTGAGAAACTGTCTGATGTCCAACACATAGTGACCCTTGTGGTTGTGGCGCAAAGGATATGGCTTGGGGTCACTCTCCAAACTGTTGAGGGTCATGCCGGTGGAGAAATCAATCATCATACCAGCCCCGTGAGGTCCCAGATGATCCATACCAACCAGGATAGGAACCAGCATAGATCTGTCAAAACCAGGTTGATGTAGCTCTGGTGGATTGGGCAGGGCATAGACCTTGAACTGTTTGGGCGTACCTGATACATCACTCCGGAGGGTGACCTGATAAAGAGCCTGACCCCACTTCCCATTCCCGTAGCGGAAATACGGGCGAGCGGATTGATCAATCTCCACAACGGTGCAGTGGTCCTGTGCCACAATGGACTGTATGAGGCCCTTGACAGCCTCTTCTGGGCCAGCAGATGCTGTGGCCCCACAGTCCACCATGCCTTCAAAATCACCGCTGGTGGATGGCATGGTGGCAGGCATACATTCACCACCGTGGAGGTCCATGTCCAGGCCGCAGAACTCGGCCGTGTAGGAGTTGACAAAACTTCGCGAAGGGGTCGCGCCATAGCCCTTACCAGATCCAGAGTGCTTGGATTTGCCCTTGAAGTACATGGCGTCGTAATCATAGTCCATGGAGTAGGTGTTCTTGCCCTTGGACTTGCCCTTCTTGGAGCCTTTGTGCTGGTAGAAGTCGTCGTAGTAAGGGTCAACCATAAACTGAGAGTTGCCCTTCTTGCCAGAGGATCCCTTAGGATGTGGTGCATGCCGAAGGTCGGGACATTGGCGGATGAAGTGAGCGCCGCCACAGTTGTAGCATTTCCCGGAGTTGCCCTTGCCGAAGCCTCTGTCACGGTGTATGGCGGCCGTGGCTCGTTTGGCTTCAGCCCAGGTACGACTTGCTTCTTGGGCCATTTGTTCGGCAAGCTGTTCAGCTTGATGTGCTTCCTTGAGCTTTGACTCCTCAGCCGGGTCGAGATGGGGAGAGGCAGGACTGGTGTCCTTCGACTCGGAGTCGTTGTCCCAGTCCCAGGAAGTCTGGTCTTCGGCAGTCCAGTGTTGGTGCCAATCCTGATCCCACCACTGGACACTGGCATAGTGATCGTGCCATGGATCAGGTCGAGGGCCAGGTTCTTGTTCTTGAACATGTAGATGATGCTGTACAGCGTGAGGTTGGCGTTGTCCAAGAAGTTGATCGTCCCACAGCATTTGCAGTGCTCGACTGATGGAGTCGTAGTTCATGCTGTTTTGGGTGGTGCTGAGGATATCACGTTTTTCTTCACTGGTCAAGCTGGCAGCCTGTAGAAGACGCCAGCCACGCAGGACGCCCATGATGAAGGAGTCGGCAAGGGACATCTCGTCAATGACATCCACCTGAGTGATGTCCAGTTGAGGTTGCGCATGAGGGATGTCCTTGCCCTTGCCTTTGCTGCCAGGTCTGGAAGATCTGCCAGGGGAAGCACCAGGTGCAGCATCAGGGGAGCTGCCGTCCTGAGAGGCGTCCGTTGCCCTTGTTCTTGGTGGAGTGGTAGCTTCGTCGGGAACGGATTCATGCTCATCTTGATCTTGATCATCTTCTTGGAGAAAGGGCTCAGGTGAACCACTGGGGATGCCGAAGTCCTTGTCCTCCTGCTTGATGCCCTTGCGTTCCTCGAACAGACGAACCAGGGCTTCGGTGAACTCCGCGTAGCCGAGGGTCTCGCGGATGAGGAAGGCACTCATGCTCTCCTGGGGCAGCCGCTTGAAGGCGAAGTACTGGGCGCAGATGGCTGCCGTGTTGGGAAGGCTCTGTCTGACCAGAGGAGAGCCGGCCAGACGTCTGAGAAGATCTCGCGTACCATCTGGTGAGTCAAACAGTTGTAGAGGCCAAGACATGGCAAGGAGCCGTGCTGGGCCCGTCAATCGACTCACCAATTTGGTCGCGCAGTAGCGCCGCTTGTCCAAGGGGACGCTCATCACCCACCAGGCGACTTCACGAGTATACCGCCTCCATGTCCGTGCGGATCCATCCCATTGTGGGATGTGGCCTTCCTTGTCTGACATCGTGTTGATGTTGAGGTTGAACTGGAGGTTGCCGTAGATGGTGTTCTCGTGGCCTGGTAATTGATGTGTTCCAGGAGGTTGCCGTAGAGGGAGTTCAGGTGTGGGGAGATCTTGATGTTGTAACGCAGGAGGTCCTTGAGGTGTCCAGTGTGACCAGGATGGTCCTCAACGTCGGTACCCGACGGAGATCTACACCTCAGTCAAAACCAGGTTGCCACCCTCAAGGTCGGGGCACGAGCCGAAGGCGAAGTGCGGGTGTTCCTCGGACTCCCGGATCGTGTAACCGTGCTCCGCTGCCAATGCAATGACTGGGGGTCAAGGAGGCTCGCAGCAGCCGAAGCGCACCTTTGCGCTGAGATCGAATGTCCACGCGCCCAATGGCGCGGTCGCAACCGTGGCTCGGTGTCGAGCGGACAAAGGGGCCCCTCTGTCTAGGGCCATGGTGGCAGCAGTGGATCAACAGTTGACATGTCACAACCGAAGGAATCGCACTTTCCCCACTAAATGGGACAAGTTGTCCATGGTCATTTTTGGGGCCGAACGGAAGATTGATCAACCCCCATGTGTCAGCTTTTCGGCCGGAGCAGTCTTTGCAAGCGTGGCTTAGGCCGCACTGGAGGAGAAGGACGATGAGGCAATCCACCTAGCCCGTGGTCTTGCGGCGACGCGGTCATCTTACTGGATTATTCTAGGGGTTGATTCCCCATTCTTTTCAGCCATCGTTCTTTAAAAAAAACAGCCATTCCCCAGGGTTTTTGGTGGTTTTCTAGAAAGATTCGGATCCCTGAAAAGAACGGGGAAGCTACCTCTAGAATTATACGTACTATATCATGTAGCGTATGTGGGTGTGGGTCAAAATTGAACCACTCGGAGACCGCGGGCTTCAGGCCATGCTTCCATTTTCCAGGGCAAGCCATTTCGGGCACCTATTTTTGACCCACAGCGCATGTACCGTGATGACATGACATGAAATGGAAGTAGTGTAGATGTAAACGCTGCGCTGCCCGCCTCGGCCCGGGCCCAAAAGCACCAAGCAATGCGAGCTTGAGCGAATAGTGCCGTCTGGGCTGAGCAGGCTGCAGCGCAAAGACTTTGCTAGCTGATTGTCAGTAGCTTGAACTTGAGCGGCAAGGGCCGGCCAACGAGGCGGAAGCACTGGGCGTTTGCTGGCCGCAGGGTGGTCTGGGATGAGCTGGGCGGCACTGTGGGGTGGGGGGAGGGGGGCTGCGTGCTGGGCTACAAACGTCAGCTTTCTGTGGGCTGTGAGAGCTGGGGCTCAGGGCTGAAGGCAAGCAATGGGTTGCGGTCAAGGTCAGTCTGGTGGCTTGGCTCGCGTGAAGTGTGGGCTGGCTTATGCTGGGCGCTGTCTCGGGGGGCTGGGCAGGCGGGGCTGGGCTGGGCTCTGACGAAGTCCGAGGAAGTAGGGGGGCAGGGCAGCTGGACATGGAGCTCGAGACACCTGACATGGTCCGGGGTGGGGATGGGGTCTGGGTTATGTTATGTTATGATTTGTTGTGTTTAATGTTATGTCATGTATGTGTGTTTGTGTAAATGTATGTAGATGATATATTCTATACATATTGTATATGAATATACATATAGGTATATACACAGTACCCTGTGTGACAGAGGCAGAGAGCATATGGGACAAACCGGAAGCTGTGGGGCTTCTTTTGCATCAAGCAATGATTGTGGAACCTTGATCACGCCCTGGTCGCGCTCATGCACTTCAATATGTTTGTGAGATACATTCCCACTTGAATGTGGGGACGGGCCTTGAGCCATTCTTCCATTCATGCTCTTCCATTCATGCTCTCGACCATTAAAGGCATTGGCATCAGCTCAAACTTCCAGCCAGTAAAAGTCAGAAGAAGAGAAAGAGTAGAGCAAGAGAGAAAGGGAAAAGGGAGGAATATGATGGACTTGCGAGGAGGGTCCTCGGGCCAGAGTGCCAAAAAGAGCAGTGACCCAGGCGTTCTTCACGCACGACATGCTGCCATCGGCGTCAGAGAGCTCTGTGTCTGCGACGAGATCTGTGGTCGAGATCCAGGCTTTGACATCGAATTGTGGGGATTTTTGTTGGCGCTGAGACTAGACGCCTCTTGGGCTCAGAATTGAAAGGGAACATTTGACACCATGTGGCAGTGAAATCTCACAATGCCCCATGCTTTGCAGAATTTGGAGTTCCAATGTTCTGGGAGGTGCCAATTCCAGCTGAACGCCTCAAGTTGCCTTCAGTGGATGAGTTCGGGCCAATCGACAGTGAGAAGGACACGCGCCGGGAGAGAGAGAGAGAGAGAGAGAGAGAGAGAGAGAGAGAGAGAGAGGGAGAGAGAGAGAGAGAGAGGGGGAGAGACAAAAACACAGACACGGTGTTATTCAGTGTGCATGGCATTCACCCATCGGACAAAAGACGTGCAGCTAGAAACGAGGCAAATATTTGTACATTCTTTGCGTTGCTTGCCTTGGCCCAGCAAAATGAGGGGCAAGATGCATGCTCTGTCCAAACGGTCCAAGTGGCAGAACCTTGCCCAGGCCAAGGGTATCGTGGACCCTGTTTCAAGTACTGGATCTTGCTTTGGAGCTTTGTGTTGGTGTTTAGACCTGTTCAGGTATTCCTGCGAACTTGTAGAAGTGTCCTGGAATTGTCAGACACAAATTGCTGGCACCCTGTGCAGGAGCCCCTGAGCAGCAGGTACCAAGACTCGCCCACCAATCACACCTGGACGCAGGAGGTGGAGCAAGAGGACCAGGAAGAGGAGGAGCGGCCTGAATAATCGCCGCGCTTCGAGCCGCAAATGCCAGAGGCCATGCACTCGTGAACACGTCAACAGTCCGGCCCACCTTCACGTAAAAAAAAAAAAACCTTCCAGACCCCGTTGCGTGCAATATGGGCAACTTTAGGGGCAACCGTCCAGAGTCGCCTCTGAGCCTCTAAATGCGTGCTTGTTCCATGGCGAAGCTCTGTGGCGGCTTGCCAGGATCTAGATCCAGCGACCGAGTCCTCGCAGCCTTTGCTCTTCCCCCCGCAGGAGTGCCAGCTTGTTTCGTGAGTGCAAGGAGTGCATCCCCAATTCTTTCAAAGATAGCACCATGGCAAGGAATGAGACGGCACATATTTTCCCACACCACGCGTGTTTCCACAAGCACAGCCGGTGCTTCCCCTCTCAAGACTTGTGTCAGAAGAGTTTGCTTCCATGCCTTGTATGAGTTGTCATTTCGAAGGGGTGGAGAAAGTTCAAGCAGGGGCAAATTGACCCATGTTTTTTAAGCACAATTCCGGCTACTAGTCGAGATTACTACTGGGATTTGGCGTCCAGACCTTCGACCCAAAACACATGTGGGTGTAAATTAAACCACCAGGGGACCGCAGGCAAGCCATTTTGGGTACATCTGTTTGATCGAAAACACACGTCTTGGAATCCACAGGATGAAGCTTGCGATGAGTGCTCGAGCAGGGAGTCCACGAGCCGACAGCTCGGAAGGGGACCAGGTCTCAAGTCGGACCAAAACACCCCCTGGATGAATCGAAGGGAGCCAAGGCGCCCCACAGTTTGGTGGCTTGTTTTGCCGATAGTTGTGCAACTTCATTCTCGCCAGATTTTGCAATTCGGTTGTTTTAGCCTGTGTGGAGTTTTGGATGACACTGGATGGCTGGCGGTGTGGTTTTGACACTCTTCAAAAGTCGAGCAATCAATGATAATGCTGCACAACCGCATTCAAAGCGCAACCACCAGGATGCCCAACGGATTGTTTGCTGTCATTGAATGATTCGCGCTCGCCATGCATCCATTTCAAGTAGTTGTTCAGGGATTCAGAGGTAAACAGTTGTTTGAAGGGGAGTGGTTGAAGGAGGCACCACGTTCAGGGAGGCCACTACCCTGAACACAACAGAGATTCACAATAGACAGAAGAAGAGAAATCCATCGCCTTCCCTTGCCCAGGATCGACGGGCATGGCCGGTTTGGCTCGGGCACTGGGAAGCAGATGTCGGGTCAGAGGCTCAGAGACAAGTCACAAGGAGCCGATGCTGAACTCATTTGTGGTGTTTTGCTTGGCTGTTAGGACTTTAACTTTTTGCCAACTAATGGGTTTTCCATTAAACCACTAAACGTACACTTTTAGCAGGGGAGCAGAAAGCAACCGAGTTGAAACCAGCATGAGGCCAAGGTGGAGGGTCAAACGATGAGGAACACTTGGCGAGCAGGTGCTTGTCATTTGCCATGGATGCAACGTGCTGACTGAGGCTTGGGGCGACGGGACAGACGGGCTTGATTCAGGCTATCAGCCTCGAAGGACGCGGCAGGGATGCACATGTGGTGTGGGTAGTGGGGAATTGCGGGACATCGCTGAGCAATAATGCGTGTGTGTGTGTGTGCGCGTGTGGGAAGTTTGAGTCATGGCTTGATAATCTGATGTTCACTAAAAGGTAGGTTGTATTATTTGCTAGGCCAGCAGACAGGACTTTATCACCACAAAAGACGCGCAGCAGAACGTGTGTGTGTGTGTCAACCTATGGTCCGCTCATATGCACAATGGAGATAAGGGAAAGTACTCTGATGTGATTTGCAGCCCAAGTCATGATAGGCCTTTGCCGAATACGCAGAGCCAACAACTTCTCAGATGGCTTGAAGACTTGGGTTTGCCCCCTTCTAGGTCCCCCAGTAGTGCCCTTGAACCCTTTTTTTGGGGAGGGTTCCCCTACTAAAGAGACTACAGAAAAAGGGTACTCTACTGGAGAACCTAGTCTTGCCGGTGGTTTGGAGCATTGCTTGCAGGAGTGCTAGGTGGGGAGATGGCTGGAGTGACAGCGGAATTCCAATGTCCCGGCCGCCAGCTCAGACAGTCGCACAGTCCCCATCACTTTAGCACGTGCTGTTTGGAAGGTACGAGCAGTGGAGATAGTGGCACCCTCCCCCTAACATGGCACCTGAGAGAGGGTCCATTGAAGAGGCAATTGATCGTCCAGTTCCGCCCAAATGCTTTCTTTGTGGGAGAAGGGGAATACGCTTACCTCAGCAAACGCGCCAATGCAACAACGGATGCTCCGTGTGCCCAGCAATCAGATGTGGTTCGGTCAAGACATCCGGCAGTCTATGGTGAATTTTGGGAAGCATGGAGGACTCACTGCGTTTTACACAAGGGCGGACCCTGCTTTTCCCATGTCAATTCCTCGGCCCAAGGTCCGGAACCAAAGACAGTTTCGACTGGGACGCAATGTTTAGTCCTCAGGCGCGGCCTTGAAACGCCTTGAACTTTGCAATGCCGACCCCGCATTCCTTGTCAGAAGGCATGTTGCCATTGGTTCATTCTTTGGCTTTGGGAACAAGGGCATCCAAGAATCGAATGGTCAAGCACTCAGAAGCTGACGAGATTTCTTGTTTCTTGTTTTGCAGTGGCTTGGGGGTCGCCTTTTTTTGGTTCGCGTGAACGGCAGGTCCCCTGTTCTCAGTTCCTGCTTCTCCAACTGCCAGGCGAAGGGCCACGACATGGTTTGAGTGTCAGCTCCGCCTCCATACAGATTCATTCCTAGTCGAGCTGTGACCGAAGGCGTGATATTCACTTTCGCTCATTGGACGGTTGATATCTAGCCCACGACAGTCACCATTGTTTGCAGATCAAGTGGTGAAGTTTGCTCCTGCACTGATAGGGAGAGCAACCCGGACCTTATGCTGCGCTCTTTTTGACACATTGCGAGCTGTGTTAGATTTACCTTGGTCACAGCGGTCTGGCTTTGTCAACTTGTCTGGCTGATGCACCCCCAATGAATCATTTGCCGAGCAGATGCACGGAAAATGGTGCGACCTGCGTTGCCAGTTGTGGTTCGGGGGTCTGAGTTGCATTTGGCAAGCAAGCATGTATACTCCAAATGGTTGAAGACATTGTCAGATTCATGCTGCGCCGATGACACGGAAAAGTCGAGACCAGTGTTCTTGTCCGATGCAGTAAATCATAAGTTGTCGTGTACTTTGTCTAGGCAAAGCCCATCACAACTTCACATTGGTTGACTTTGCACAGATTGAGTGAGCACTTGCACTGCCAGCTGAAAAGCCTTTGACCACGTCCAGCGGATGTGTTTATACCATGAGCTCGAAACCAAAGATGGATATGGCGCTTCCACTAGCTCAGCTCCTGACTGCCTTAGCTCTCCTGACTAGTGCCTATGTTTGACTTCGACTTCGAAGGCTTGGACCTGGACACCTGCGCAGATTTCCAGGTCATTGGCTTGGATGGCACGCAGTACCCCATCTCCAGACAAACCTCCACCGTGCGGGACGTCATGGCGTTCCTGGAGGCCAAGTATGGGATACCCAGCGACGAGCAGCGGCTCTGCCACGAGGGTCGAGAGCTTTCTGACCCCAGCGCAGTGCTGCCTGAGGTCGGGCTCTAGCAACCTAAGGGCAGGCTCTTGTGTTTCAAGCGCCAGTTTTGGGTCACAAAAAGTTGGGAATCCTGTGAGGATCTATTGGAGCTGCACTTGCTGCGCAGCAAAGCGGACGAAGAGGAGTGGCTGAGCAGAGTGGCCGAAAACCCCTTCGCGCTGAGCGATGCCCCAGCCTCCATCAAGTGCAACAAGGCTGTGGTAAGGGCCGCAGCTGTCAGGGAGACCTCGGCCTTGGCCTATGCGGCGGACACCCTGCGCCAGGATAGGCACTTTGCCTTGGACTTGGTTTCTGCCGATGGCGGCGCTCTGCGATACTTTGCGGAGGAGGTCCGAGCGGAACGCGACGTGGTGCTTATGGCTGTGCGGGCTGCTGGCTCTGTACTTAGATGTGCCGCTGCCAGCCTGCGCGCGGACTCTGAAGTGGTGCTTGCGGCTGTTTGCCAGGATGCGAAAGCTTTGATTCATGCGGACCCGCAGCTGCTAGTTGATGACGACTTTGCCCGGCAAGCCATGGACTGCAATCGCCTAGTTGGCGACTACTTGGCAAGCCTCACCACAGACAAAGAAGACAGGGAGCAGCAGTCACGCCAGGAAGAGGACGTCAACCGCCAAGATGAAATTGATGTTCAAAATGCTGGAATCGTCGCGGAAGTCGCATTTGCTCATTTTCAGCAGAGCAGCGCAATATTCCTGGATGCAAGATCGGCGGATGAGTTTGACAAGAGTCACATTGCAGGTTCCATGTTGTTCTCTGAGCGATCTCCCGTGCTTCAGCGCCTTGCTGAGCAGAGGGAGGATTTGGAGCTTTCAACAAATCCGGCTGTAAAACAGATGGTTTCTTTCCCGAGCAAGCCTGTGATTCTGTACAGCGACAGTGGCTCCGATGATCTCGCTGTGGGGTACATCAGCCGCTGCGTTCGGGGTACCCGATTTCTCCGCCGCGCTTGTCGCGCACAGCCATCCTTGGGAAACGAGAATCGAGTCTTTCGGCTGATCGGTGGCCTGAACCAGTGGAAGCGCATGGGGCTGCCGGTAAACGGCGAGCATCGGCCCCTGATCAATGGCAATGTACTGCTTGAAGCTGGGATTCATGGCTATCTCGACCTAGATGATGATATTTGATAGTTTGGGAACCAGTTCTTGTGTGTTGGCAGAATTGCCACATGTGTACAGCGTTTGTGTGAACAATATGTACATATGTTTGTGTACAGACATCTTTTTATGTGCATATATACCATCCAAGCGAGGGAGAGTTGGTTGATTGTGTGTGCGTGTGCAGTTGACGTGCTTTCGTTCGCAAAGGTCGAACATCCCGAAGGATGACTCTGCAAAGCGATCTCAGGCAGAACCACGGACCAGAGCGTCAGTGCGCCTTTGTGCACCCTTGTTTTGCCACGGGCTATCAATCATTTGTCTCTTCGAATCAAGCGCGGAAGGCTGACTCGCCGCATGTAGGTTCCACCTGGTCCTTATCTCGCAGTTATGCTTTTCGGAGCCATGTGACAATGAGTGAACCATCCATCTCAACCTATCTCACCAAGAGCGCCTGATTCTGTCACACGGAAGAAGGCTGCGTAACCACTGGTTTAGCTCGCGGCATTTAGAATTGCCTTAGACCCCGGCTTAGCCCCCGTGGCAAATGGAATGTCCAGAAGTCGGGTCCTCAGAATGCCGACGGATTGATCAGCGCGGATTCGAAGAATCGGGCGACTCAACCAACAGGTTTACAGGTTGGTCCATCAACCAAAACTGTCCATTGAAGTTGCTTCGTGTGGCTCAGCTGGCTTCTCAAGGAAAGCCTGCCTACGAGCGCATCGACCGCGATGTCGCGTGTCGCTATGAGCTGGTCTCTCGCATCGGTCGCGGGCGCAGGACCCAGCGCCTTGAAATGGGTGTGTCTTTTCTGGGGAACCCCCTTTTCAGTGGATAAGGCAAGGGGAAACCAACAGGAAAAACACATGTTCTTTTGGGTTCCCCAATTTTTTCAACAAACCCACACTATGGATGGATGGCATGCGAGATGTTTATCAGAGTGCTTTGGTCAGTGGTCTGGGATACATGTTTGATTCCTCACAGAAAGAGCCAGGCTCAAAGAACAAGGCGCAAACGTACCCCAAGTTGGCATATTCAAGCATGCTTGGGTATTCAATTCATGACCTGGTTCTAAGCCTACCATGGAGGCATTCATTGTTGATGTCTATCGTTGGAAGACAAGCGAGTATTGATACTCAACACCTTTTCGAATATACCAATACCTGCACAGACCTCCAAACATGAAGGACGGCCGTGCGGTTTTTGAAGGAACTCAGGGATTACAGCCGTCATTGGTGCAGTTGCTCAGTTTTGGCTTTGGCGAGCGCGCTTTGAGCCCGGCTATTTCCAAGGGGAGACGCATGGCTATGACTTTTCATGGGGAACACCCTCAAAGGTGTAATCCCCATGTAGTGATGCCACCAAAGGGTTGTGAGATAGACTTTGTACCCACATGCGATCGGCCTGAATGGTCCGTCTCGGAGCCCACAACTACCTGGCTGCTCATGTTTGTTTTCGCTGCAGGGCAGAGCGTGGCTTAGCTTCCAAGAGCACGGCTCAAGTTGCATGTGAAGTAGCAGTTTTCAGCAACATGGCCATGGGTCAAAAGCCCGTACTTCCAGTGAACATGCCAATCCCCACAAAAGTAGACTAAAATGGGTGGTGCACCGAAAACCCCCAAAATGGGATCCCAAAACGGTTTTGACCCACAGCCAGGCAGTCCCCGCTTATCTGCAGCAAACCCTGGGGCCATGAGAAGCGCACCAGTTTAGTGTGCCATGCGCAAGCGCTGGTGCAATTGCACTTGAAGAGCAGCACCGGGAGCGCAATGCGCACGCATCGGGCAATGTGAAATGAAGCATAGGCCTTGCGAGCAGTGGAAAGCACCTTGGTCATTGGTGGCTCCCATAAACCCGCGGCGCGGATGCCGCTGGTGTCCATCGGGCTGGCATGGCTCCCCTTGCCATTGCCTTGAAATACTACATGGTCTTTGCAAGTGGATAGCACATTCTTTTCGAACCCCTCACAACAATGGAGTAAGTTGCTTGTGCATCTTTACCCGTCAGATGAATTGGGACAAAGAAGCAACTAGCCAATCCCTCAGGTGCTACGGTGTGGTGTTCGAGGTCATGCTCAATGACCGGCTTTCCGTGGGCAGGGTTCACGAGTCGCAACAAGGGTACTTTGGGCCAAAGCACAGCTTCCTCACTCAGCCTGGTAGAGAGGGCAGTCCTTTTTCTAGAATACCAACATGCGCGGATTCAAATCGAGACTGTCTGTGCCCGAACGTCGATGCACCTGGAGTACAGGCAAGAGTTTCAGACCGGAAGCAAGCTGCGTTTCACATGACCGTTTTGAGGACCCCGGCAAGTTTGAGAAGTATGCGATGAAGAAGGCTTGATGACATGTCTCGGAGCATGACTGGCTAACTGCGTCGGCCTGGGTTTTGCAGCAATGCTTTTGCAATGCCGAACTTCGGCCATCGTCAGATCCTCTATGCCTTCAACAACTCCACAGATTCACAAAGGACTTACCGAGAGGCAGGCAGCAAATTGCAGATCTGCAAATTGACGCGAATCCAAAAACGGAAGACAGGGGGTCCTCCGAAGGGAGAAATTCCGCCCATGGAATTTGGGGTATGCGAATCTGCAGAGTAGGCCATGACGACCGGAGTGACACACCGCAGGTGTCATACCTCTTAGAGTTTGGCAGCCACACCAACATCTTGTTCGTCCCTGCCTCGGCATTTGAGAGTCAACATATAGAGTGGTCTATGATTATTTTAGGAGGGACATCATCAACGTTCCCACACAAAAACCAAGGGGACTCACTTTTTCCCATGCCCATAGAGGGCATAGTGAATTTTCACCAAGGCACATGCCACCAAAGCCGCCATTGTTTTGCTGGGTGCCATTGCGTGAAACTGGCATTCACCCATTGGAGCCTCCCGCCCGCACAACGGAAGCACATGGCTCAGGTACATGATGTGTTGTGTGCTGCAGATGACAAGCATCTCTATTTGGCCGCGACCTCGGATGTGGCTCTCCCCAGTCTGAAAGAAGGTCAGCTGGGTGCAGATTGTGGTCTTGCCTGGTCGCGACCCTTGCCTGACATATTCGGATAGCTCTGGAAGGTGTACAGCCAAGGTCACGGATCTCATGGAGTCCGACCTGTGCAAAGCCATCAAGTGCGCTCGGGGTTGGATGGGCTGGCTCTAACCCAAACTCTGGGTGTCCAAGATGCGCGGGTGATTGAAGTTTGGCCACAGGACAGCCCCAAGTTCTTTGCTCGTTCGTGTTTGTCGTCCCATCAGCAGTTTCTACTACCACCGGTTGATCAGGTCTTGAGTCTTATATCTTCGAAATCAAACTTGCTGGGTCACGGAGGTCGGCGGTCACCACGGAACAACTGCACAGAGATGCTTAACACCCACTCCATCACTCCATTGAGGATCAGTACTTTTGGTTTGCCTGACCAACCCTAGCTGGAAGCTGATAGGAGTTTCGGGGCATGGGCGGGCACCATGCGCCCGGCTTGCTGGCTGGCGGTTCCACAGATTCCGAAAAGGTTTTCCAGCGAAACAGGATGGTAGTGTGTGTCATACTTTTTGGACCCCCCAAAAATGTACCTTTTGGTTCCCTTTGAAACCCACAAACCAAAGGGTTCCCTCAAGAAAAGGCACACCTTGGCTGCACCGGCCAGTCCCCCGACTCAGGTGCAACAGCTTGGGGGAGGTCCACAAGCCCTTGATCGCGTACCAGGTGGGGTTCGGCAATCCATTGGGATTTGACGTGGGGGTTGATGAAAGGGTCCTTGACATCCAGCAATATTGATCAACCCCCACATCAGAACCTCAGTTTTGCCACAAACAGCGGCTCAGTCCATAGCTTTTTCCATGGGAATGGCCACATATGGGTGTGGCTCAAAATTGAACAGGAGGGGTTACGCAGGTGTTGGCCCATGTTTCCACTTACCAGGGCAATGGAATTCCGGTTTTGTGAGCCACAGCCATACTCTCCAGGTGCTGAGGGCTCTGAAGTACATCCACTCTGCCGGGGTAATGCACCGAGACCTCAAGCCTGGGAACGTGTTCCTGGACCGCAGCTGCCAGGCGTTCCGTTCCGCGGCTTCGGGAAGGGAACCGCATGGGAATGACTTTGGGGGACCCCAAAGGGTGGAGGTCATTTTCTTGGGGATTTATGCCCACGGCATTCTCGAAGGTGTCCCAACATGCACGTGAAGAATGAGGTTCTTGTACCTCCGTGCAAGTAATAGGAGCACCATGTGTATGCAATTCTTTGGGGCCGCGCTGTCAAGAAAACATAGCAAACAACAGCGACTCCCAAATGCAACAATCAACACTTTTGCACACTTGCCACCCCCCGCCATTTTGCCCTTTCATTCCCTCCGAATGCTTCCATCCTCTCACCCCATTTTTTAACAGAAAAGAAACAACCCATTAGATTTGGCACCTGTGCTGAAGGTTGTTGGCGCTCTTTTGGCATGACTCTCGTATGTTTGCATGTGTGTGTGTGTGCGTTTGCGTTTGCGTTGCGTTTGTGTTTGCTTGTTAATATTTGTCCAGGTTGCCATGTCGGCTTGCTACGGTCATGTTTTGGTTACTTGTTTTTGCCACTTGTGTTTACCGGGTTTTGTTTCTTCTTTGAACTTCATCTTGGGCAAGCAGGACTTGTTCCGAGTCGAAGCATGACAAAAAGGACATGGTGTGGGCAGATGGCGATGAACTGGTCGCTCCCACTGGGACTCACATCCAGATTGTTCATGTGAACTGCTTCGGCTCCATTCGTCAGGAAGCTTCCACGAATTTGTTCAACAAGACAGGGTCCAAAGTGAACATGTTGAGGGGTTGTGAGGGTGCTTTCTGCGGACCCCGATGTAAACTGCCGCATGGTTTCGCTGGTAGACTTCTTTTTCAGCCAGGTGCTATTGGGGGACTTCGGGCTAGCTCGATCCTCGCGAGCCTGGCAGATTCGGGCAAAGGGGGCAGTACTCACCACAGGTCCTCCGGCGTGAAAAGTCTAGCGAGAATCCACCTTTTGAGCTTTTGGTTGCAACGAAGTTCCCATGTTCATCAGTGGTAGCTTTTGCCATTGCTGCTTTCATGGGGTTGGCTCCTTTCACGACCTGGGCCATGGAAGCCGGACAGCCCATTGACCTTTGAATTTGCGTGGCTTGCAGCGTGGGCTCGCGGGTGAGAGCTGCCTTGGCGATGGCTTTCAGGCGCGAGGGAACTTCGGGTTGGGATCATGGACTTCTTGAATTAATGCAGGGTGTTCGACAATTATTGCAATGCCATCGTACTAGTACTACTACTACTACTAGTACTAGTACTAGTACTAGTACTACTACTACTACTACTACTACTACTACTACTACTACTACTACTCCTCCTCCTCCTCCTGCTGCTGCTGCTGCTGCTGCTGCTGCTGCTGCTGCTGCTGCTGCTGCTGCTAGTGCCAGTGCTAGTGCTAGTGCTAGTGCTAGTGCTAGTGCTAGTGCTAGTGCTAGTGCTGCTGCCACTCCTACTGCTGCTGCTGCTACTGCTACTCCTCCGTTCTGGGACTGTCCGCAGGCTATGCTCTCTTTCCCGGCGGTTTGCTGCGCACGCACAGCAGGTGCTGCGGAAGGAGGCGGGTTATGGAGCCTGGGGTCACTTTGGTTTTCCCAAAGCAACTAGGTGTGTTCAAACATTGGCACCCCCAATGTTTCATTGGTCTCCTGGAGTGCTAAAAACGCCGCCTTCCCCCCATGCAAAAGATGCGTTTTCCCCGAAAACCAGTAACCTTCAAAGAAAGAACCCTAACTCACCATCCGATTGGCCAAGTCTTCAGGCTGGCTTTGAGTTCCGCGCAAGCTGACGCTTGGCTTCGCTTGGCTGACTCTGTTTGTATGAGGCCAAGGATGGATGGTTTACATAGAGCACTGTTGTTCTTCGCCTTTCTTGTGTGCTTGCTTGCTTGCTTGCTTGCTTGCTTGCTTGCTTGCTTGCTCTCTTGCTCTCTTGCATGCCTGCTTGCGTGCGTGCTTGCTTGCTTGAGTGCTTGCTTGACTGCTTGCTTGCTTGCGTGCGTGCTTGCGTGCTTGCTTGAGTGCTTGCTTGACTGCTTGCTTGCTTGCGTGCGTGCGTGCTTGCTTGCTTGCTTGCTTGCTTGCTTGCTTGCTTGCTGCGTGCGTGCGTGCGTGCGTGCGTGCGTGCGTGCGCGCGTGCTTGCGTGCGTGCGTGCGTGCTTTCTTGCTTGCGTGCTTGCGTGCTTAATTGCTTGCGTGCTTGCTTGCTTGCGTGCTTGCTTGCGTGCTTGCTTATTTGCTTGCTTGCTTTCGTGCTTGCGTGCTTGCGTGCTTGCATGCTTGCCTGTTTGAGTGCTTGCGTGCTTGCGTGCTTTAGCGTGCCTGCGTGCCTGCGTGCCTGCGTGCCTGCGTGCCTGCGTGCCTGCGTGCCTGCGTGCCTGCGTGCTTGCGTGCTTGCGTGCTTGCGTGCTTGCGTGCTTGCGTGCTTGCGTGCTTGCGTGCTTGCTTGCGTGCTTGCTTGCTTGCTTGCGTGCTTGCGTGCTTGCGTGCTTGCGTGCTTGCGTGCTTGCTTGCTTGCGTGCTTGCTTGCGTGCTTGCGTGCTTGCGTGCGTGCTTGCTTGCGTGCTTGCTTGCGTGCTTGCTTGCTTGCGTACGTGCTTGCGTACGTGCTTGCTTGCGTGCTTGCTTGCTTGCTTGCGTACGTGCTGCCTTGCGTGCTTGCTTGCTTGCGTGCGTGCTTGATTGCTTGCTTGTTTGCTTGTCTTGCTTGCTTGCGCTGGCATGCTTGCGTTGTTGCTTGGTTCTTGCGTGCTTGCTTTCTTTCTTGCTTGCTTGCTTGCTTGTGCTTGCTTGCGTGAGTTCTTGCTTGACTGCTTGCTGGCCTGCGTGCTTGCTTGACCTCTTGCTTGCATGCTTGCGTGCCTGCTTGCTTGCGTGCTTGCTTGCTTGCGTGCTTGTTTGCGTGCTTGCTTGTCTTGCTTGCTTGCGTGCTTGCTTGCTTGCGTGCGTGCTTGCTTGCTTGCGTGCCTACTTGTGTGCTTGCTTGCTTGCTTGCGTGCTTTCTTGCTTGCGTGCTTGCGTGCTTGCTTGCTTGATTGCTTGCGTGCTTGCTTGCGTGCTTGCTTGCGTGCTTGCTGATTTGCTTGCTTGCTTTCGTGCTTGCTTGCTTGCTTGCTTGCTTGCGTGCTTGCTGGCGTGCTCGCTTGCGTGCTCGCTTGCTTGCGTTGTTGCTTGCTTGCGTGCCTGCTTGCTTGCATGCTTACTTGCTTGCTTGCTTGAGTTCTTGCTTGCTTGCTCGCTTGCTTGACTGCTTGCTTGCTTGCGTGCTTGCTGGCTTGCGCGATTGCTTGCGCGCTTGCTTGCGTGCTTGCTTGCCAGCGTGCTTGCGTGCTTGCTTGCGTGCTTGCGTGCTTGCGTGCTTGCTTGCGTGCTTGCTTGCTTGCTTGCTTGCGTGCTTGCGTGCTTTCGTGCTTGCTTGGTTGCTTGCGAGCTCGCTTGCTGGCTTGCGCGATTGCTTGCGTGCTTTCTTCCCTGCTTGCTTGCTTGCTTGCTTGCTTGCTTGCTTGCTGCTTGCTTGCTTGCTTGCTTGCTTGCTTGCTTGCTTGCTTGCTTGCTTGCTCTCTTGCTCTCTTGCATGCCTGCTTGCGTGCGTGCTTGCTTGCTTGAGTGCTTGCTTGACTGCTTGCTTGCTTGCGTGCGTGCTTGCGTGCTTGCTTGCGTGCTTGCTTGCTTGCTTGCTTGCTTGCTTGCTCTCTTGCTCTCTTGCATGCCTGCTTGCTTGTGTGCTTGCTTGCGTGAGTGCTTGCTTCACTGCTTGCTTGCCTGCGTGCTTGCTTTTTGGCGTGCTTGCTTGCCTGCTTGCGTGCGTGCTTGCTTTCTTGCTTGTGCTTGTTTGCTTGCTTGCCTGCTTGCTTGCCTGCCTGCTTGCTTGCTTGCTTGCTTGTGCGTGCGGGCGTGCTTGCTTGCGTGCGTGCTTGCTTGCTTGCTTGCTTGCTGGCGGTGCTTGCTTGCGTGCGTGCTTGCGTGCTTGCTTGCGTGCTTGCTTGCTTGCGTGCCTGCTTGCTTGCGTGCTTGCTTGCTTGTGTGCTTGCTTGCGTGAGTGCTTGCTTGACTGCTTGCTTGCCTGCGTGCTTGCTTTCTTGCGTGCTTGCTTGCCTGCTTGTTCGCGTGCCTGCTTGCTTGCTTGCGTGCTTGCTTGCTTGCGTGCTTTCTTGCTTGCTTGTGTGCCTTCTTGCTTGCTTGCTTGCTTGCTTGCTTGCTTGCTTGCTTGCTTGCTTGTGCGTGCTTGCTTGCGTGCTTGCTTTGTTGCGTGCTTGCTTGCTTGCGTGCTTGCTTGCTTGCTTGCCTGCTTGCTTGCGTGCTTGCTTGCTTGCTTTCGTGCTTGCTTGCGTGCTTGCTTGCGTGCTTGCTGGCTTGCGCGATTGCTTGCTGGCTTGCGTGCTTGCTTGCTTGCGTGCTTGCTTACGTGCGTGCTTGCTTGCTTGCTTGCGTGCTTGCTTGCTTGCGTGCTTGCTTGCATGCTTGCCTGCTTGCGTGCTTGCGTGCTTGCTTGCTTGCTTGCATGCTTGCTTGCTTGCGTGCTTGCTTGCTTGCGTGCTTGCTTGCGTGGTTGCTTGCTTGCTTGCTTGCTTGCGTGCTTGCGTGCTTGCTTGCTTGCTTGCTGGCGGCTTTCTTTCTTTGAAGGTTTCTTTCGCAAGAAGCGTATGTGACTGAACTGCCAAGGGCCAAAAGCGATTTCAAAACGATTTTTGCCACGAATTGAATCAGCAGTATCTTTCAGGGTTGGATGTGCTTGACTGTTGTGTGTGTGCGTGTTGAGTAAGCGTAAAGTGCTTGACAAAGTTTCAGTCACTCAGCGAAAGCTCGTGGCACTTTGCGACTCACACGTAAGGCATCGCCATTACCGCTGGCATCTCTGCTGGATGGTGGATGCAGCAGGCTGGCCCTTAAAAGCACATGGCAGAAGGCAGAGTTGGACCAACCCCTAAAAACATTGTTTAAAAACCTATTATTTAAGCAACCTTGTTTTGGTTCCCTTCAAAGTGGATCTGGTGGCTTCAGCAAATTATGCCCACTGTGGAGCCTCCGACCTCCAACATGGTCCGGGGCGGCAGGCCATGAGAGGCCCATCTTTTCAATGGGACCCATCAGACTGATTGCGGAAATTGCTGAAGGCTCCAATGGGCACAATTGCATGCACCTACGCATGCGGTCGTCCATGCTCCCAACCATATACTCCACCCATCCGCACACCCACCCACAGCACCCAAACCGCCACACCCACCAATCCACTGCTCGCTGCGTCTATGTGCGCATGCGCAGAAGTGGGGGGTTGTCAAAAATGGGTACCCGCTTTTGGGCCTGGTTAGTTTATGTGGGGCCCGTCTTTGAAAGGGGTTCAAGAAGGGGTCCATATTTTTGACCACCCGCCAAGTGGGTTGATTTACTGCGAGGCAGCGCGGGCGGAGGGCATTTGGACTCCGCACCTGGGCGAGGCGTCGAGTTCAAGCTTTGCGGGAAGTCCGTTTGGGTATGGCTCAAAATGCAAGATCTGGGGTTACGCAGGTATTAGTCTTTGTTTCCATTTGCCAAGGCATCTTGGACACCATTATTTGAGCCACAGCCATTTTAGCATGGCATCCTCTTGGTAGGGCTGCAGAAACCCGTCAGTCCCAAGAAAAAACATAGAACTATGGCAGTTCCCAGACATTGCGGCTCGACAGCCGCAGCTTTGCCATACCTAGTGGCAGAAAGCCTTTTTCCCAAGGTTGCCCTATTTGTTTCCCACCCAGCGACTTGTTGTTCCACGTCTTGAAGCCCTTGGGTGAAGTCTAAGAACCTTTTGCGAACCTTCACAAAGAAACATGGAACTGATTTTCGGAATTGGGCTGAACCATGGATGGGCAAGAGAGCAACAAGGGAAATATGGTAATGTTAACCCCGGATTAAGATCGGGGGGTGTCTCCTTTTAGTGGGACTTTTGGAGGGAACACCCACCTAATAGTGGGACGGGGTTTCTTCATGGGTCAACATTAGGGGATCAAGAACCAAACGCCGCAGGAGGCCAAGTTGTTGAACCTCCAGCGCGAGATGGCGCTGAGAGACAGCTGCCTGGCTGCACTTGCGCGGTCCCTGAAAGTGATGGTTCCACTCCCAGATGTTGCAGAGGTATTCTGAGGGACGATGTAAACCCTTTCAACTGGGTATGGGTCAAAGGTAAACCACCAGGAGACCACAGGTTTTAGTCATTTCCATTTGCCAGGGTGCCATTTTGGGTACCTATTCACAGCCAACTATCGCAGAGTTGTGTGAGGACTTTCAAAGCCACATGCTTGCCAGCCTTTTCTGTCGCACAAGACCGCCAGGACACGACAAGCAATTTGTGTGGCAGACCTGCAGTGGCCAGGGCAAAATTGAGGACGGTGCAAGAGTGACGCATGCAGACTGCTTGGCCTTTGGTGAAGGCTCGTCATCATGCGCACCGTAAACACGATCTCACGTCCAAGTTTGGTTGAGTAAGGCGAGGTCCCAAAGGGAGGGTACCTTGGAAGGCTGGAACGGGGATTCTTCTTGGTTTGCCCCGGAACCGGGACCATGAACTATCGTATATTTCATTTTGTCTCCGACCCACTGTCCTGCACTTTGGAGGACTGCCGCATATATCACTGCAAGCGAGAAGAAGTTGATCGTGAGGTTTCGCTGGACGCGCCGGAAATGGTGGAGGGCAAAACACGGATTTGTGCAGCTGCTTGCCTGAAGTTCAGTATTGAATTGAGAGACTATGGTTTGTTGACATTGCGGCGAATGCAAGTAAGTATCTCTTTTCACCATCATTTTGCAGCATAGAGGATGTTGCGCAGATTTGCTTAGATCTCATAGCCACTGTAGTTGCAGTGTAGCACAGGTGTCCCTGACGTTGAGCCTTTGTTGCAAGGTGATGCGCGTTGGCGACGTGTCTTGCTTGCATTTGGATCTCGCCTTCTGATTTCAAATGACTTCAAGGAATTTCCCTCAAAGCCACAAAATACAGTACAATTTCAACAACTGCAGCAGGGCAATCTAAAGTCCGCCATGTCATGCTTCCTCGCATTGTGCCGCATTTCAAGCTGCGAATGGTGTGACACAAATGGACAAGACGCTGACGCCGCGCGAAACCAGGAGCTGAACGGCCATCCTGGGCTTTTGCATGGCGGCTTCACTGCCGCCGTGCTGGACGATTTCACAGGCCTGGCGACCTGGCAGCTCGGCAAACGGAGGCATTCGGAAGCGCTTCCGCCGACGTGGGTTGGCGGCAAGGCGCGGCTGGGCCGACAGTGAAATGTATACCCACCTAAGGGGTTTTCATGTAAGATTGCACCATATTGCACCAATGAAGTGTCTGATGCCCATGGGGTGCACTGAGGATGGAGAAGCAAGCGCAGGCCAGCCAAGACCGTGCTTGCGCTTTCTGTGTTTGTGATTGTTTGTGCGAATCGAGTCTTATCGAGTCTTGCCCCCGAGGCGCTGGACAAGGATGCGGCCATTTTCACCGCTCACATGGATCTCAGCTATCGGCGACCCCTGAAGGCGAAGTCGGAGTACTTGGTTGAGGTTTGCGTTGACCGTGTTGAGCGGCAAAAGATGCTTGGCGTGCAAGTGAGCGGATAAAGCAGGTGGGCGATATAAACAGACAAACAAAGTAGCGTTTGACAACACAATTGCAGATTGGGAATACAACAGGCTCACTGGACTACTCTAGTCAAATGTTTCCTGTATGTGTTGAGGAGGCACGCCGCGGCACGCCCTCATATTTGTTTCTTCAAGTTGGATTAGCGACGAATCATTCTTTCCTTCTGCAGACAGTGCACAATGAGAGAGAGAGAGAGAGAACAAAGAAGGAAAAGAAAGAAGAAAGAGCAGCCTGTTGCAGTGAAGTCAAGTTTCCTTGTCCATGCAGGAAGGTCTTTCTGAATGCTGCCATCTATGACAAGGACAGCCATGCCTGCGTCAAAGCAAAGGTGTTGTACATCGTCAAAAAGAAGTGAATGCCATCAATGCCTGGCCTCGATTGGCCTCCTGGCTCTGCCTCGGCTCGCTCAAGATGGCGGTCTGTGATGCTCGCGGCCGACGGAAGCGAGGAAGCCCTCAACATGGAGCCACCCTTGCCCTCGCGACGGGAGCTGCTTCCAACCCTTGGCGGTTGGGGAAATGAAAATTTGGTGCCTGCTATTTTGGTTCTTCTCATTCTGCGAGGGTCGCATCGCGAGATGATCCGCGGCCGAAAAGATGGGCTTCTGAAAGACGGCCGCGGGCTGAACGGCCGGGCTGTTGGCTGAATGCGTTGGAGGGCAATTTGCTTGGATGGTGCCCTCATTCCAAGAATCATGGATTCGGACTGCAGTCTTCCAAACCTCTCCTGTCAGCTTCCGCACTTGCGCATGCCGCAGTTTCTCGGAAAATCCAAACTCTTTGGTTGTGACTGTTGGAGGGATCTAGCCGAGAGGTTTCATGCAAGCTCGGCTTATTGAGATGAAAAACCACGCGACTTTCTTTACACTCAGAAGTACAGTAACATCGGCGAGAAGCGCAGGGCAGCCTTGCTACGGCCCAGCTTCATGCCTAGCAACTTGCTGCCAGGCCAGTGGAAAACACCGCAGCGGCACTGCTGCCATGGTTTGGATGCGACTTGTTGCTTCACCCCCTGTCTTAAAGCTGGCAGGCACCCAAATTGTTCACAGCCCCCTTCTTCATTTCAACCAAACCCTGGCAAAGGTTCGCTCCAAAGGGAAAATGTTCATGCACTTTCGTGCATGCTTGAGGGAGGGTTGGTTCGATCAAGTAAATCACGTCGCGATTGCTGAACAGGACACGACACAGAATGTTGGTCACAGCTTGAAGTTGACTCTCTTTAGGCAGATGAAGCTACACATCCTTTGTTGGAACAAAATGATGCTTAGAGGGAAGTACCCCGTTAGGAGGGGGCTGTGGCTGAATGCGACACCTGTTTGACAGGAAATGATGATGCGCCGACCTTGGCGCTGGTTGCTTGTAGGCTTGCCAAGGCTAGAGCAAACTATCAAAATTCAGGGACTGAATCAGGCCACTGGGCTCCCTCAAACCCCAAGGGTCCGCAAAGAGTGACTTGGGCTGTAGCTGTCGACTGAGGCTCACGGACTACATCGGGCCGCGCTGGTGCGCAGCTCAGATGGACATGCCATGCAGCCCGCTTGGATCTCTGGAGAGAAGCTGTTTTTGGTTTGCCATGCTTTCACACACACACACAAGTTTGTTGGAGAAACTTCCACTAGGTTTATGGCACAGCTTACATCTACTGAATTCTGACTGTGGGCCTATACTTCATGGCGACCCAGCTTTCCAACCTCTAAGCTTCCCTTCCTGACAGTTGCTCCGAGGTACCGCAGTCCCGAGCAGTTGCTGGGCGCGAGGCAAGTCTCGTTTAGCTTGGTCCAACATGGGAAGCGCTGCTTGTCCGATTGGTAGGTTGAAGACAAGAAACGGCCGGTGCTCTGCTTGGTACAAAGCAGTTTCAGCCAGCTTCCTTTGCATCCCCTCACTGCTTCTTTGGAGCCATTTGTTTGTGGTGTCCGCCTGTGTATATGGCACTTGTGAAAGAGGCGCCTCCGCTGTCACTTCAAAGTTGCCTTGATTTGGCTGCGGGTCAAACCCAATGGGATCCCATTTTGGGGTAGGTGCACCATCCGTTTTAGTCGATTTTAGTGGGGATTGGGATGTTCACTGGGGGTACGGGAGTTTGACTCATGGCCATTTAGTACTTCCGTTTGATGATTGGACTGGGCGCTGCTTCTCAAGTGATCTGGCTGATTTGCTCGTTGGGTGTGCGATTTGCCTTGCCACAACTGACCCCTTTTGCTTGGTCTTGGGGATGAGCATCCACGAGGGATGACCATCAACCTTCTCACAGGGAGTTCAATGTTTAGACAACCAATGTATCTAAGGGTTTTTGTATTACACCCTGGGAATACACCCACTGGGTATTGACCCCATTTAAGCACATTTCCGGATAAAACCCGTGTTATTTTGAAGCATGGGTCATTTCCCAAGGGTGTACTCCCAGGCTGTAATACAAAAACCCGAATGGAAAGGCTCTTACCACCACTGTGAGGCGACCTGTGACGCCAGGTTCTACACCACCTCGGTGGACATCTGGGCCTGGGGCTGCATCGTCGCAGAGATGCACCTCGGGGACCGGAGCCGGGATGGGAAGGATGGGCTGGGCATGCGATCCATCTGCAATTTGACGGGTGCGCCAACACAAACCCTGGAAAGCGTCTCCTCGAGCAAAATCACTCTGGAATGTGTATCGAGCGACACGCACACGGATTATTTCTTCTTTTTTTTTTAAAAAAAAAAGAAACAACAAACAAAAAAGCATGGTGTCAAGATGTGCAGGACAGGTTCAGGTCGAGTGACCTTTCAAAAGGATTTGAGTCACGGAGCGAGGGCGGCCAAGACCGTCACTGTCCAAGAGTGCGCGGCCATCCAAAAGAAACTTTTTTGCGAACATTGAATATGTTCCTGTCGAGAGATTGGTTGGAACGCATCAGCAGCAAGCCCGGATATGCCCGGTCTTGTCCTTGTGCTGTTGGCTCCCCGGCCATTGCTTGCAGACAGCGTCATGCAGGCCATCAACACCAAACTTTGGCAGTGTCTACTCGTACGCTTTGCGGCAAGTCTGGAAATGAAGACCCTAGACAAGCTCAATGACAGGCTTGTCTTGGGGGTGTCACAAACGAGAGGCCACTTGAGCTCACTTGAGATGATCCCGCCCCTTCCGCTTGGTTAACTGGTGAACCAGGAGGTGTAAACGAATCGCATGTTCCCTGCAGAAGCCGATCCTCAAGGGCTCCTCGACCATCGACATGATGCACAACATCGCCGCCGCCTCACTTTTTGGCTCTGCCCCGAAGCTGCGGTCCCCTTGGCCCGAGGTCGAGCTTCTTGGAACTCCTTTGGAGGCGAGATCTTTGTCAGTGGGGGTATTTTTGGCTGGAATGCCCTCAAAAGTGGTTGGTTGACAGAACAATCCCTGTGAATGATGTCCACCAAAAGGGTCCCATTGAAAACCCGACGCGGCTTGTCTCGGCAACACCGATCACGCACCTGGCAGGCTGATGTGGACGCGATGCAGGTAAAGTGCCCAGAGATGCACATGACACCGGGATCCCGAAATGGCCCGTGTTTTGTCAATACACATGTTTTGCCTGCTGCAAGTGCCACTTTTCCGCACTTTTTTTTTTGCGAGATCGAGTAGATGTTTTTAGTTGACGTGATTTGCCTGAAACGGTTTCTGCAGCTAGATGCTTTGCCTTTCATCGAGTAAGCTGAATGTGCGCTTCTCTAGTCGTGAGGCACCCTACGGGCACATGTCTCTGGGCCAGCTGCCAATTTCTCTGCTGGGGACTTGGATATGGCCGTGGGTCAAAACCAATGGGATCCCATTTTGGGGTAGGTGCACCACCCATTTTAGGCGTTATTTTAGTGGGGATTGGGATGTTCACTGGGGGTTCGGAATTTTGACCCATGGCCATATGAGCTGCTGCGGCAGGGAGTGAAGAGTGTCAGCCAAAATTTATTATTGGTATCACCCCATCCAGGAGTATGGAAGACTGGAGGGTCCTGGAAAGCCAGTTTTCTCCAAAGGGATGGTGGGGGGGTCCACCTTCAGCGGAAGGGAGTGACCTGGACGGGGCTTGGATTTGGACAATCCGGGAAGCATGACTCACAAGGGGAATCCACCCACAGAATGACGCATGAGGACAGTTTGTAATCAGCAAGGAAACGCCCTCTCTGGAAAACCCCCATCTTCCTTCCCTCTTGTGGAAGACAAGATTTGCAAAATGACAGTCGTCTTCCGAAACCACTCCATGACTGGAGGGTACAGAGCTGAGACCCACATTGTCCTTCTCGGAGATGATCACCAACTGCTCTCCGGTGCTCAATGACCTGCTGGAGCTGTGCTTTCAGGTCAGTTTTCGAGCTTTGCAGCATCCCATGTTCGGCTTTTTTCTGGTTTGTGTGTTTGTCTTGTGGCTACACCGAAACCTATCGATGCACAATTTGATTCACCTTCGCCTAGACCTCAAGCTTTGATTTATGGTTTCGAGCTTCGAAGCTCTCCCCATGATTCAGTGCAACTTGGCCCTTACCGCGAGTGAGCCACAGAGACTGTTCACTTTGGGTGTGGTGATAGGCTGGCATGGGGCCCTCCTGCCAAATCACATTGAATCACACTTCACAGATAATGGATACAGGATTGAAGAATGAAGGTGCTTTCCACCGACAATGGGGACATGCCAAACAGTGTCCAGGCCCATCACATCTTAGATGCCTCACTTCGCTAGAGGGCAAGCTTGCGTTCGCGTCCATTGCGAGAGTTCTGTCGGTAAGGTACCTAGAAAGCATCCCTGCTCGTCCTGCTCGTTCCGTTGAAAGCCTCAATACATTGAACATGTTTCTATTGTCCTCATTCTCCGAAATATGCTCCACACATCCAGCCATGTTATCGCTTTTTTGGCAACACTCCATTTGATTGATTGATGTTTCTCTCTGGCCCGCCCACAAACAGGAATGCAGCCAATGCGCCCGTAGTAATGTTTGTTGTTGGGAAGTACTGCTCAGGTCTGTTTGCGTTACTGCGAGGATCCAACTCAGTTTGAAGCGTCCCCAACTACCCTCGACATGGTACGAATGCCCTATTTCGTAAACGGGATTAAAAGGTGGGACCTACCTGTAACACTAACATTAGCTCCTTATTGGAGCCAACCAGCCAACCAACCAACCAACCAACCAAGCAGCCAGCCAGCCAGCCAGCCAGCCAGCCAGCCAGCCAGCCAGCCAGCCAGCCAGCCAGCCAGCCAGCCAGCCAGCCAGCCAACCAACCAACCAACCAACCAACCAACCAACCAACCAACCAACCAACCAACCGACGCTGCGGCCTTAAGATTCTTTGTTGCAAGCAACGCTGCCACAGGATGCCGGATGGATACGCGAAGATTGACGTTCCGCGCTGCGCTGGCCTAAGCGGGTCTGCGTCGCAAATGTTCTTAAGCGCGCGCTTTGCAAAGGCCAGCGGCTTCGCCAGCCGAACGGCGTGATTTTTTTGCACAAGTATTAAGCTTGCGCCTTGCGCTTATCGCAACAATGAGTGTTACCCGAGGCAACAGGCTCTTGCGGAAGACGGCCGCCGGGTTGAGGCCATTTTGAAAGCCGAACCCCGGCAGCCATCTCAACCACGCGGACGTCCGCGGGGAGCTGATAGAGGCCGGGCGACTTGCTCAAGGTTTTGGCCGCGACGGCTGGAAAGCCGTCGCCGGCGTTTCGGACTTCGATGGCCGGCGACGCGGTGACGAAGCGCAGCTTGCTCGCAAGGCGCGACTGCAAGGCTAAACGCGTTCCTTGGAGCGACGAGGCAAAGCGTATGTCGTGAAGCCCGGGGAGCGCCGCGCAGCGAGCGCTGTCTGGGCGGCGCTGCTGGCGGCCGTAATGTTGGCCAGTTCGCCGCCGGCCGCGCGCTGAGGGGCAACTTACTGCCGAATGAGGCTGCTCCGGCAGGCTTAGAAAGAAGCTCGGCTGTTTTGTTGAGCGCAACTTTGGCTGAGGCTACATAGGCCCCTCGAAATTGAGGAATCTGGCATTGGAATCGTTTGGGCGCGGCCCCCTTTCTTCTGAAGCGCGCAAACGCCCATTCCTTTCTGGGGGCGCGAAGCAGATTTCTCGTTCTCGGCAAACTGCTTGGGACCCCTACGCGCGGCTTTCCTCGAAACCAGCTTGGCAAGTTTTTGTTTGTCAAAGGAGATAGCCGTTGCTGCTCGCTTTGGTTCGCAGCTTTCCGCGATTCAAACATTCTATCGGCGCGCGCTTTAGAATGACCGCGCAGTCGTCGCAACCTTAGGCGCCGCAAGTCTTTGCTGCGTCGTCGCCCAGCTGCCGAGAATCAAACGGCCAAAGCCGGGGCAACCCAAAGACCCGAAGAAAGAGAAGCAGCCTGGGGCGGGAGCGAGCCAGAAAAAGTGGAACGGGGCAACCAGAGAACCCGAGAGCCAGGGGCGGGGCATGGCGGCGCCCAACAACCCAGGAAAATGGGACGGTGCAGCCAGACACCCAAGAACCGCGGCAACCCAAAGACTCGAACAAAGGGAAACGGCCAGGGTTGCGTTTCTTGGCCGCGGCAGCCTGACAACCGACCAACCGACCAACCGACCAACCCAACCCAACCAACCCAACCCAACCCAACCCAACCCAACCCAGCCCAACCCAACCAACCAGCCCACCACCAACCAAACCAGCCGTGGCAACCCAACCCAACCCAACCCGACCCAACCCAACCAACCCAATCCAACCCACCCAACCCCCAACCAACCCCAACCAGCCAGCCAACCAAACCAAGCAGAGCTGTCGATCTCCAAATCCAGTGCGGGGGCCTGGTCAAGATAGCCAGCTAGAACCAGCCCGCCAACCAGCCAGCCAGCCAACCAACCAACCAACCAACCCACCCCCCAACCCACCCACCCAAAAACCCAAACCCCAAACCAACCACCAACCCAACCCCAACCAGCCAGCCAACCAGCCAGCCAGCCAACCCAACCTCAACCAAAAAATAGCGGGCCTTCCTTTCAGTTTTCCCTTTGCACCAACCTGCAAAGCTTCCCTCCAAGAGGCACACCCAACCGCTTGAAGCCATCGCGCGCGCCAGTGGAACCCTGCGAAGCGGCTCACCGCCATAGAGGCAGGCGAGCGCGCGTCGAGGAGGGGGTAAGCTAGGTGGGGGGTCGGCTTCGCCTTAGTTCCTTTTGAACCAAAACATAACGTGTTTTTCTTTTTCAGCGGGGCCCCATAGTTCTGACAAAGCCGGACTTGCTAGATTTGGAGGCTGACAGAGCCCAAGGGAAGCCACAATTGACAGAGGCGCGAATCCGGTGGTCACCAAAATTGAGGACGGCTTTGCTGCAAGTCAGAGTACTTCAAGCAAGCATGTGAATCCAATTTGCAGAGTTTGCGGGTGTTTCTTCACGTCTAACATATTTCTGACAAAGGATGGGGTCATTCAGAGGCAACAACTGCAACGGCAAAGTTTGAAGAGGTTTTTCTGCATTTTCAATGGCTACCAGCCATCCTGCAATTTGGCATCCTTTCCAGAGTCATTCCAAAGATGTTTATGTGTGAGCATCATGTGATCCAGTGCTGTGGTAGGCCTTGCGCCATCCCTACATCTCGGCGTTCCATGATCCTGACGCAGAGCCTGTTGGCAGCTGAGTGCCTGTCAGTACCTGTTGGCAGCTGTTGTCAGTGACCCGTGCCCATCAGTAGAATCCTGAATATAGCTGGTTCTCAGTAGGGATGCGCGGGGTCATTCAATCATTGCCGGCTGAGTCCCTGGTTGCAACGGTGTCCCACTACGGATTAGGCTTAGGGATCCCCGCATTTTGAACACCCCAGGAACTGCCAGCTTTGCAGAGACAGGGTGTAGTGTTAGCCCTTGGGACCGATGTTGCGCATTCGCATGTCTGGTGTTGCGTAAGTAATCGTTATCAGAGGATCTTATCCTTTCACAGGTTCCAACGACACTGTGAATAGCTCGGTGCAGCTGTTAGCAGCTGCAATCACTTTTCATTTGGGAGAGGACAGTTCCAGCCTGCAGCCCTCAGCCTAGGTCTTTGGGCACCGCCTGGAACTGACCCTGCCAGATCGCTGGTGGCCAAGCATCGCGCCAGCGAGACAGAGGGTTGGTTTTTCAGTTGCGGCTGGTCCCCTCACTTCCTGAGATTCTGGACTTGATATTTGGGAAGACAGTTTGAGTGGTGTGGTAAACAACAAGTCTAGAGTTGTTAGGCCAGTCTACTCAGAAAGTGAGTCCCGCAGATGTCCCAGAGTATTGCCGCTTCATCCAAAACCGAGCTGACCGTGGTCACTCAGACATCGTTGTTGGTGCGTGCAGTGACAAATTACAGAGTGGGCATTTCCACGAGCTTCTGCATACCCAGGAAGTCTGGGCGTGTTACGTGTTGAGACGACTGCTGCTGAGACCACAAGTTCACCACGGCGCAATATCGAGACCAGGCGCGCTCTTCGCTCCCACCTACATTGGACTGGCAGAGACAAAAACCTGCCTGCAGAATCATTGCCGTTTATCAAAGAGTTGGATTTAGTAGAGACTTTGGAATGGACAGACGACTTCGCCACACCATGATCATCCGTTTTCTAGTTGAATTCTCTTGAAAGGTGTGCTAGCTGTACCTATTACCTCGGTATGCGAACTGATATTTTCTTGCTTTCTCAGCTCACGCTATGCACGGTCTCAGATGTACGCCGACATCATCGGGCTCGAGAAGGCGAAAGCGAGGATCGACGCCTGCCTGGCATGCTTAGCTGCCATGGCCATGTGCTTTTCAAAGGGAGGGTGTGGTTTTCTTTTTCCCGCCATTCCTTTTCCCACCAGTTATTTCAAAGTCTGGTTGAGCACTTTGATTTCGAGGTGTTTGCAGTTCTGTAAACCTCTTTGGGTTGATGCCCATTCTTTCTAACCATCATTCTTTTCAACCACTAGCCGTTTGCGAGGGTGTCTGCATGGTTTTCTCGAAAAGAAGCATTTCCTGGGGTTGCCATGTATTCCAACTGAACTATTATAGAACATGAAAGGCTTACTGTGCAAAAGCTGCTTTGGAAAGTACTCAATGTTTTGTTTTGTATGTACTTGCAACAAAGTTTTGTATACATTGTAGAGTCCTGTAGAGCTACTTCCAAGTTCCATCAATGTGGATCTGAACTTTCTTCGAGTCCAACGCTGTTTTCTCCAGAGAGCAACATGCATAGTAGGATTGAATCGAAACAAACCAAGCCAGCACAACATCTTGAACACCCAGACACTTGCACTCTCACAGCTGCGTTTGATGTTACCCACGTTGTTCATGGCTCAGCCCTTCAAGTCCCGATGCAGTCTGCCATAGGGCACTTCCAACCAACGTGCCAGGAGAACCGGAAGGCGCAGGCTCTCCTGGAGGCTCGGCCAAAATCAACAGGCCGTCACTGGAGGTAAGGGGTCATTCCCTCAGGTTTTGGGTTCAAGGTGTATTGGGCCTTGATGTTGGCCCAAGTACTGTGCAAGACCGGGCAAAAGCACGCCAAGACTCATGTTTCCTCATTCCTGGCAAGTGTTTTCGGACACGCATCCTGTGAATTGCTATCTCATGCATTTATCCGCACTCGCTGTGACCGTTGTGCGAATGCCCCTGAAGCTAAACCTCCAGTTGCCAAGTTCTTGGGCAGACGTTCGGAGTCTCGCAACGTTTTGACGCAGGCGCTGGAAGAACAAGACATGGCTTGACAAAGAACCTTTGAGCCATCGTGTTTCACCGAGCGGTTGCCGGCTTCTCATGATCCATCACAGGAGGCAAGTTAGATAGAAGAATGCTTTGGCATCTCAGGGTAGCGGTGGCAACTGAGCTCTAACAACGGAGCTCTGTGACCTTCGTCAGGAAGCCCTCGAAGTCCCAAAAGTGCGGCTGAGTGCAGTTTTGAGTTGTTTAAGCATAGTATCATTGATAATGTGATCTAGCATTCGGTTTGAAACTGTTGCCCCTGCTAGTGATGTGTGTAGGCAACCACTCCGACTGGATTCGTGCTCGTCATGCACTCTGCGCAGTCGTGAGTCAAGTACCTGTTGTACGCTTGCGCTCATGCAGCTCAGCCACCCTTTGAGCAGCAGTCCTCATGCACAAGCGAGCCTCAGACATTTGCAAACTGGCCGGTTGGTACTGATGCTCTCTGGGGGCAGCAATGCCGCCAAAGCCAGACCGCCTGTTGCCCTAACGCGGACTCCTTTCTTGCTCCGGGAGAAGCCGAGCAAAGCCACGGCGCCAAACTTCCGCGCAGTGAGTTGTGCAGCTGCCGGTGTTTTGTGCAGCCAAAGAGTGCACAGAGGAAGACGGACAGGTTTGCGCGCCGAGCGTGACGAGGCGAAGGCTCGCTTCGTGGATTGGATGCGGGAGACTGGCATCGTGGCATCTCCCAAAGTGGACATTGTGCCGGACGCGGAGGGCGGGCGACGTGTCGTGTGCACTGCGCCCATCGAGAGGGGCGAAAGTCTTTTTGCCAGACCAAAGGCTTACCTCTTTGCCCTTTTTACCCTTTGTGGTTTTGCTTCATTTTCCCCTGCAACCAGTGTTTCAGCAGCAAAAAGTTCAAGCTTACCGCCAGAAGGTCCAACCGAGCTCAGGTTTGGTGCGTCTCCCCGGCTCAGAGGCGGTGTCCGTTGCCATCGACGGCGACTCGGTGCCGGAGGCGCTGGCGGAGTGGGAGGAGCTGCACATGCGCGGGGGGGCGGAGGCGCTGGCGGAGTGGTGGGCGCTGCACACGCGGAGCTCCATCCGCCTGGCGGTAGTGCTGGCGTCCCGGTACGACCAGTTTGAGGTCGGATGCAAAGTGGGAGCGGGGCGAGCGATTCGGTACGGGTAAGTGGTTAGGACTGGCCATAGAACCTACTTAGATATTGGACTTATCACCGTGTAGGTTGTAACCGTGGTTATTGCCCACTTGCTAAGTGCCTTTGAAGCAATGACCTTGATGTTTTGTTTCGCTGGCGGTTTCATTTTGGGGGATCCATATTCCCAGAGATGGGGTGTCCTTTTAGGTCACTTTGGTTGAAAAGAGATGGGCTCCGCTGCTTTGAGTTAGATTCCAATCATTTACCAGTATTTTGTTACATGGTTCCACAGGCAGGTTGGCTGGATTCCCTTAGACACCATTCAGGCTGGATTCCCCGAAACTCGTTGAAACATAGCCTGCGAGATAGAGGAGGACATTCAATGAAATTGTGTTTCGACATGTTCGTGTACGAATTGGCCCAACCCTGCGAGGCCTACATCGACATGCTCTATCCGCTGGAGCAGATCTGTGCCCCCTGGCGCTGGGAGGAGAGCGACTTGCAGTTCCTGCCGCCAAAGATGCGTCGCAAGGCGCCAACGCTGCACCACAGCGTGGGCGGATTGCAAGTCTTTGGTCACAGGCTGCCAGCTGCACTTCCGAGGTAAAGGCGCTGTGCCATCTCTCCGCTTCTCGAAAAGGAGGCAAAAAGGTGGAACTGTCTGGAAAGATACAACTTGATACAGTTTGGGCATTCGAAACAATACTTTTTCCAGACGAAAAAGAAGCTACCATGAAAAGGGGGGGGGTAAGGTTCAGGTGGATCCTCTATGAACCCCCTGTTTGTGAGCGTGGGTTTGCCTGCGCCTCTGGAGTTACTTCCAATGAAAGTTGCTACAGTTGAAATCGGTCGTATGGTTTGTGCTTGTGCAAGTTGCCTCTTGCCATCTGGGAGTTTCTGTAAATGGTAGCCCTTTGAGTTGGTATTCAAGGGGAAATCAGGCTTTCCTTTTCGTTCCCCCTTTGAACCAACCTGAAACGGGTACTCTCAAAAACAGACACCCAAAGAATTTAATGCATACCCCCATTTCTTTCAAAGAAACTGTCAGGTGCTGGCAAGGAAGGCGGCACTGCAGAAGGCCTGCGAAGACTTGGAGCGTCTGAAGCTCGGCACGCCCAAAGACCTCTTCTTGCGGGCGCACCACGCCGCGGCGTCCCGCGCCTTTGCCGGGGAGGCCGGGGGTCTGAGAGTCCGAGAGGTTGTGGAGATGGGAAGCCCGCTGTGAATATAGACCCCAAGTCCGAAAAGAGGCCCCCATATTTTGATAGCTCAAAAGTGCGGCGCTGCAGCTTTCTCTGGACCCGTAAAATGGTTAAAGGGCTGATGATCGGCTTTTCAACTACTTCGCATGTCTGGCTTGTTGCCAGGCCAGAGGTCATGTGTCTTGGAATCCTTTGGTTGGTTGGTTGGTCGGTCGGTTGGTCGGTCGGTCGGTCGGTCGGTTGGTTAGTTGATTAATTAATTGATTGGTTGGTCGCTTTGTGTGCTGGTTGGTGTTTGGTTTGCTTCCCTTGTACCTTTATCGCTGGTCGCCAGGGCAACGACTCGGGCCGAACCGCCGCTTTGGCGGCTGGAGCGATTTCCATGGCGGTCAGCGCCTCAGGATCTCGCGCAGAGAGGCCCACAGACCAGATAGCCATTGTGTAAAGGATACGTACTGTGGACCAAATCCATTTCGCACCACTTCAAAGCCCTGGGTGAAACCATTGTTTGTTGGCATTTGCAAGGGCTCAGGTGGTGCAGGATTTCGTGCATCCACATGATTCCCTAGCCCTCTGGGGGTAGTGGTTTGGGGCCCCCATGGGAAACCATCAAAGGCTCATGCGAGGAGAATCACATCCTTGGGGGTCAGCGTGATTGTGATCGTTCCGTCATTCTTTGCTGCTTTGGGTTTTCTTTGTTCTGGGAGGTTTGTTGTGGAGCTCGGGTAAGAGCCTCTCAGTCTTGCCTGTCACGTGCGGTGGAGGAAATCTACCCGGAAGCAGGAACGTGGCCAACATCACTCGCCGTGCTTGGTTTCGGAGTTCATGAGCAAAAAAGAGGCGTTCAATGGTTGGGGGAACCTGCGACGACCCAAATTCCCCGGAGACACCAGGTGGATGGTCAAAAGTATGGACCCCTTTTTGGAGCCCCTTTTGTTGGCGGGCCCCACATAAACCATGGCACAAAACCATGGTTGTTGGAAAACATTTTGCATTTTTCCTTATTGTGGTTTAGTGGGAAATCCCCACTTAACTGCTAAAACTTAGCTTTTGCTCCCCTTCCAACGTCAACCAAGAGACGGCCACTCGTTTTGACAGCCTAAAGTCCCCATCACCCAGGGTGGAAACCTGCGGCCCCGACTGTGAGGCTTTTGGAGCTGCTGCCGCAACGGGCTTCGCAAGTGTCTTGATCCAACAGCGAGTCGTGTGACGATGCCCGATGCTTGTTGGATGAGAGGAGTCGTTGCCATTTGCTGGTGAGTCCATACGGTCCAAAGTCAAACCAGAAGAATTCGCCAGACTCTTGCCAAAGATCACAAGGGTCGAGTCCAAAGGAAGCCGTTCTTTGCTTCCAAGCATATAATGTTGACCCCGGATGAATAAACCTCATGGATCAATTAGCGGATTTTCCCTTAAAAAGTGAAGGACCCTCGCAAATGCGGACAGCCAAATCTGAATCATGCAGGGGTGCATTGATCCGCCCGGATCAAAACTAGGTTTGGATTTGGCAGCAGCTGCTGGTGCCACTATCGCAGCAGCTTCTGGGGCTGTCATTGCACCTCGACTTAAATCAGCGCGAGAGTGCAGTAGGCTGTAGGATGCTGTAGGCATTTTGGATTGGGATTGGCCAGTTTTGCTTTTGAAGCAGCCTGGATTGGGTATCTCGCTGTTGTGCCTGCAGCTTGGCAAGGCTTCAAACTGGCGTTTCTTTGCTCACTGGGCAGCAACTCTCCAATGCGCTTGTCACAGGCATCCAGCAAGAGCCAGGCTGGGATCGAAGAGTCTGGCTGTCGAGTGTGCCGCACCCCCAACGAAGAAATCGCAATCGGTGCCGTCCTTCAGGTTCTGTCCTTGCTGCCCATGATCGACCTGGTGAACCACCAAAGCGGTGCAGAGCCCTTAGCCGCCTTAGCGACATCACTGCAAGTTCCCTTTTGTTGGTCAGTGTTGGCAATTTCGTCGTGTTCCGCCGAATTCAGCCTAGCCATTCACCGGCGGAATCCATCGAGTCCAAAAGGGCGAGCGGCTCGGCTCGCCCAGAGGAGCCGCCGGATCTGCAGTTCGACCCCGGGAGCCGCACTTGGGAGCTCAAAGCCAAGAATTCGTGACCGGTGCGGCCTTGCCGTGAACGGTTTGGATGCGATTTCAGTGAATCGGTGTCGGAAGATATCGATGATCCGGAGCTTGACAGGTTTAGGAGGGAGCTTGGGGCGGGTGCTTGACTTGTTGAGCTGAGTCGGTGTAGTTCAGTAGTCTTGAGCTGCAATCTGCAGGTACAAAGTGGGGGACGAGATTGTGTTTAGCTACGGTGACAAGGCTTGTGCATTGCTCCTGATGTCTGGTGTTTGGTGCGGCCATGAGACTCAGCCCCCGGGCCCCCTAGCAACAATTATCCAAATCATATGTGGCTGAGAAAGCCCCAGTCCAAGCGTTCCAAGTCATACGAAGCTGCCCCCTAAATCAACAAACATGCTGGCCATACTGTGGATGGACGAAATCCTGCACCACCTAAGAAACCCTGGAATGATGACTCCCCTGTAAATACCAACAAACAGTGGGTTCCCCTGTTTTCAAAGTGGTGCAGGATCTTGTCCATGCACAGTAGCAGCGCGTTTGCCCCGTTGTCGCATCTTTTCGAAGGACAGCGATTCCTTGCTTCTGCAGCATGGATTTGTGGAGGAGGACTGTGCGATGTTTGGGGGGGTATCTGTTACTTTCTGAGTTGTGGAGAAGGAAAGCGAAAGGAAGCCAAAGTCAATTTTGGAAGATCCACCATTTTGATGTGAAAGATCCGCAGATGCAGAAGCCTTATTCGGCCTCGGCGCGGGGATGTTTGCCTAGATGGCTGACTGAGTTATTAGTAGCATGGTGTAGCATGCCTTCCTGCTGCGCGCAACATGGCTAAGGCATGCTTTGGCATATGAGACCACGGCTGTAATTTCGATGTGTGCCACAGTTTCGCTCGCATGGTTCCAGTGCGCTGTTGCCATTCTTCTGCCACGTATGGGACCGGAGGACAACAAGGCAGATCGCTTGTGCGTGGAACTTCCTGATGCCTCAGCCCCAGATAGCTCAGACCAAATTCGGCCGTGCAGCCCATGCAAAGATTCTTGCGCAGCTCAAGGCACAGTCCTCCATTTTCAACACAGGTTCCGTCAAGATAAGGGGGGTCTGAGTCGGACTCAGTGGATTTCCTACGAAGACCAGCAAGCTTGCGCATTTTTCCCTACATCTTCGCAATTTCGTTGTTTTCCAAGACTCACATGGTTTGGATCATGTCTTCATGAGGCGGGCAGCTATGGCCTCTCCGAGGAGGCTGCAGCTCAGCTTGGGCTGGCTGGCCTGGAGGCTTGGGCGATGGCTGGCTTTGGATGCAGCGAGGGTTGAAGCGCTCCCACCGCGCCCGTGGTGACGGCAATTTTGCCTTAGATTGTGCTCAAGTCTTCGGGTGGTGAGTCTATGCTCAAGCAGAGTGGGAGCTCATCGTCGGGGCTGGGGGGGGTCACACCAACCGGGGATCTCAATGAACCCTGGCGCTCGCTAGAATACAATGTAGTCGCTAATTGAAAACAGGCCTTGAGTGTGGAACGGCAAGGCGCAAAACAGACACAGTCTGTTTTTACACAAAGTAGTGGAGTGAGTCGCGAAAAGGCAAGTAGAATCCGTGAGGACTGCGCGAAGTTCCAGTCTAAAGCTGGAGGCGTAAGATATTGACAGTGCCCGAAGGAAAAAGCCAGATGACGCTTGGCCCGAACGCTTGTCTAGAAGCGAGACTGCTTTTGAGTCCGGGGATACAAAAATGGCTGGGAGTGCAGGAATTGTTTGACTCCACATCTCATGTCTGGAGGTTTTTTCTGGTAGGGCTCGACATTTGCCAGGAGCTTTGCTTCGGAAGAGACGGCTCCTTGCAGGTCGAGGCGCAGAGATGTTGGATTCCTTTTTCCTGTATCGAGATCTCGAACCACTCCGTCCAGTGGGAGCTTTGAATGTGGGGCGGGTTGCAGGTTGTCCGTCCTTGGAGGAATTGGCTTTGTTGACGTCATGATGACAGGAAACGCAGATACTCGATGGCTCAGTTTTCGGGCATTGTTTCTAGGAGAGAACTGGCAGATAAAGTAGTGCCAACATTGGTAAGCCTGTCAAATGCTTGTGTGTTGCACCACATTGCTGAGGCATGCATTCTATTTTGGTGGAAGCATCTCAGATGGCTCAAAGTTTTGCCAACCATCCAGTGTGTGAGCATTGTCCAGCACGATGGGGATGGGTCTAATGCGGCTTCACAGACTGCCTGGGCTGCTTCTTTTGAGCATCGGTGGCCGAGCTGCAAAAGCTACCATGCGAGTGCAGTCAGCAGCATATGAAGACTTCTAGTGGACACAGACGTGTCATCCGCTGCTTCCAAGCGCTTCCAAGCTGAGCCGCAAAGTGGGGATGATCGGATGCCACCAAATGGGAAGCGAGTCCTGGATTTGGTTGACATGTTTACTCTAGCGGCATGTTAAGAAATCATATCTTGTGAAGACTTGAAGAGGGTGTGACAGCAAGGCGACAAGGATTGGGACAGGGATCAGGATGACCATAGGGTGACAGGGGATGCCGATCCGGATGAGGCCAACTGCCCGAAAGATGCCATCGCCGATGGTCAAAGGCACTCATAGTCGGTGGCCGTAGGTCTTCCTCATAAGAAATCCTGAACATACGGCTGGTGGGTGTACTATTTTCCGCTTATGACCCTCTTGGGGCGGAGCATATTTGGGGAACCATCCAGCCATTTTGACCAGCTGCCTTCTTTTAGGCGTGGTGACGCTCCAAGTGGGCTTCATCCCATGCCCTGCGACGATACCACGGCGGTTGAGCCCTGTGGCTCGCCAAGCGAATTTGCTGGAGGAGCCGAAGAAGAAGAAGGTGGATCCGCGCTTTGCGCCCCCATTGGAGACTTGACAGCCTCCAAGCAATGCGTTTTTTGTTTCTCGTTCATTTGTTGGATCCAGGACTCGCCGGCGAGGTAGCTTTCAACTTCCAGAGTTTGTGCTTTAACCACAAGTCAACCACTTTCGGGTTGAAGTCTGCCTTGATCCGTGGTTCTGGCCAATCCATGTCATTTGGCTATGGGTCATAACCTATGGCGAGCCCATTTTGGGGTGGATGGACATCCATTTGAAACCTATTTTGACATTCACCAGGGGTACCAGGGGTTTTGACCCAAAGCCATGTGGCCATGGGTCAAAAGCCCGTGCCCCCGGTGAACATCGCAATCCCCACTAAAATAGGTTCTAAAATGGGTGGTGCACCTCCCCCAAAATGGGATCCCATTGTTTTTGACCCACAGCCAAAAACGTCAAAATACCAAAATGGAGCCATAGCTTATGCCCCATGGGTGGTGCTGGGATCCCAAAACGGTTTGACCCATCCCATTTGGCCCATCCTCGCAGGACGTGGTGAAGTACCAAGGCCCCAACCCCAAGGTCCGGCGCAACCGCCGGCCCACGGGCATCGCCACGGAGCGCCTGCAGCCGCCCAGGAAAGGCGCCACGGTGCCCGGCAAGGGCTCCAGGCGGGGCTTGCGGGCTCCACGCGGGTCCGCGGGTGCGGGTGCCAGAGCCGAGTTTGCGGCCCGCAAAAGACGGAAGAATATGATGCGTATTTGGTCAAGAGGTGTGCAAGGAAGACTCGCAACTAAGTCTAGCTTGGGGAAAAGGAGGTGGGTGAAACAGGTTTAAAGTTTAAGATCAAAGAGGTTGAATCGCTGAACCCTGGCAGGGTCTGGATCCGGCACACCGGCTGGACAGCCCCTGGACTGGAGAAGGGCGCCCAATTTGTCGGTTTGAAAGGTGCCAGAATGGTTGGCAGATGGACTTGGAGGGACTCACCATAGGGCGCGCCTCCGGTACAGTCTATGATCCATTTGGCAAATGTCCCACAAAATCCAGGCCACAAACTAAATGTCCCTCGTGGCAAGCAAGTATATAATTTTGAACTTGTCGCACATCCAAGCACATGGCAAAGAACCTCCAGACCTGCATTCAAGGTGGCGGATGGCGAGATGTTTGACAGCTCATACTTGCGGACCTCCGAGCCAGAGGAGTTTGAGGTCTCGGAGGCTCTGGCTGGGCAAAATCGGTGGTTCAAACGCGCAGATGTCTCAAGTCAGGGCCCCTTCACGTGTGTCGGTTTCCTTTTAGTTGTTCAAGCAGCATGTCCAGGGAGTTGTTCCCATTTCAAGGCTAAGGATGACTCAACCCTGGTGTAAAAGAACATCCAACAAGCCGCAAGACGATGCTTAAGACTTGTCAATTCATGGATGGTGACCTATTGGACACTTGCTGCGTCCCCTGAGGAAACGATGTCAGACCTCTAAGGACCAGGATCCCCTTTTTTGGACCTTGTTTAGATTTCAGGCACGAGCGCGCACTAGGCAGCAATTCTTGAGCACAGACTTTGAACCGAGTCAAGGCGTTGTTTTCGAACGCGCAGCTGAACAATGAGTGTTTGTGGAACTGGGATGTACTGTCACGACATGCACGCTTAGATGCAACAGTGCACAAATTGATTGTTACATGCGCCATTGAATGATTCCCCGATTCGCCGCAGAGCCCCCGAATCAGTTTTCAGGATGTCAGGACTTCAAGCATTGGACAGATCAAGCCACACCTGCCTTTGTCCCCCGAGGTGCTGCAGAGCTGGCGCGCCGCGCTGCTAGAGATGCGGGAGGGCGAGAAGACGCGGGTCTGGGTGCCCGCCTCCCGGCCCACGGAGATCGAGTGGGGCGTGCTCAGCGAGCGCGGGCGCCTCCGGTTTTGAGGTCAAAACGGGGCCTGGAGTCGAAACCTGGGCCGGTTGATGCCCCGTGCTTCTTTTTGTTTCAGCGGCAATGAGTTTCCGGAAAGTGTTGAGCAAGAGGGCAACGAAGAACTCATGTCAAACATAGGACGGGTAGGTTTGGTTTGGCTGGCATCGAGTTGGGAAGTTTAACTCGTGGCGCGCGTGTTGATAGATGTTACCGGGCGTTGCACAGTTGCAGCCGCAGCCTTTGGGCGACCCCTGAAATGCATTTGCCAGGGAATTGCAGCGTTTTCGATCACACAGCCAAGCGTGAGAAGGAAGACTCTCAGTGGTTGGTGATTTTGCATCCTTTTGAAACTTTGAACTGCCTTACAGTCAACAGTGGCATGATAATTGAGATCACAACTTGTTCAGGTGAGACCGAGAGACGAAGTAGGGCTTCACACGGAGAAAGAGGGATATGGGCAAAGTGAAGCTTGGTTTCTACTGTTCCTGTTTGCAAGATGCTTCACTGCTCTTTGGTACGACTTGTAGCCTTACATTTTTTGGGAGAATCTGCGTTTCTTCACTAGGCTGCAACATAGCTTTGCAGAGATCCAATCCCACCTGACCAAAAGCATATAATGCCAGAAAGAACAAGGCAAAGGGGACACAGCTTTCTGGTATTTGGAGCGCAGGCAATACCCATGGGTGTTCGAGATTGAGCTGGTCAAAGTCGAGGATCCTGTGCCCTGGTGGGTTTTTGCAATCTTTCTTTCGCCAATCATCGCCGGGGAGCTGTTCATTCAAATCACTGGCAAGACGCCCGGCGATGCCCTGAATGAGTATCTCTATGCTGATGCCCTCAAGGGCCTCTAGCCATCTCGGCAGGTGCTTCTTTGCCATGCAAGGCGTTGTACATATTTTTGTCGTAAGCCCTTCGCCACAAGTCAGCGGCGCCGGGAGTTAGGGCTTTCGTGTGGAGTGCGAAGCACAGAAGGCGGAGCTCGAATTGTGCCAGCGCTTGGCGTCTTTAAGTGCGGCAAACTTGATAGAAGTCAGGAAACCAAAAAACGCCGTAATGCTCTGCGAACGTCCCACAATCCCCAAGGCAAGATTGAAAGATATCCAATGCTGGCGTTCATAGCTGAAAGCCTTCTGACACACGAGAAATCACGTTCAAGTGGGGCCATGTCCGCCACACGCCATTCCAGCCTTTCGAATGTATCCCATGAACAACCTTTGAGTCAAACAAGCCTGACTCACCCGTCAACAAAACGCAATACTTGTTGCTTGAACGTTCACTAGAATGTATAAAACAATTCTAGTCTGTTTACGGGATTTGTGGTTTTATTTGCAATTGTTGAAAGTCTATTTGCACTGACTGTCTATCTTCCGCAGTTGTAATAAATTGAACAGCGGTTTTATTTAAATGAAAGGGTTTATACCCAAAGGGAACTGCCTGCATTTTGCGGAGGCAATCCTGGTTGGGGGGCGTAGGCTCGCTCGCGTAGGCTTCTGCGTGTTACGTCTCTTGACAGTGTCGTTACTCGTGTGACGATATTCTCTGGCATGACTGACTCACTGAATTTTGATCAGACCTTGTTGGCCAGGTTCCGCGGCCGGCCCTTGCGGAGGCGGGGCGCTTTGTTCCCATGCCTCTTTGCTCATCACTTCTCCTGACTTGAGCCACAATCAGAACCGGGGTAGATGAAGGTTAGCAAGGGGCAGTCCCAGCCAGAAATAGTTGCGGCCGCCTTCTTAATTCTTTACATGGTTCTGGGTAGACCATTTTAATACCGGGGTTTGATTGCGACTCACTTGGAGACTGCGTTTCGCCCCGTCCACTGCCTGCGATGAGATTTAAGACACCCCCCCAAAGTGAAGATGATCGCGGGAGTTCGCCGGGGCCGGGAACCGCATTTGCCTCATGGATCTCAGAGCTGAACGCCCTGGCGGGAAGCCAGGTGTTTCTTACTGTTCCCACCAAGGCAGAGATGCAGCGGACCCTGTGACAGCCAGAGGATAAACCCTCCAACAAATATACAAGTTCCCTGGCTCCTTTCCAAAAGAAATTCGTCTTCAAATGGGGATGCACTTTTTTGTTGGTAGGGTAGGCATTTCGTCCTCTGGTGTGGAGTGTTTGTGCCTTGCAGCATTGCATGGGCAGGGCGTTGCCGCTGCCCTGCGGCATGCAGCAGATGGCTGCAAGGAGTCGGAGGATGACCAGGTGTCGCCGCAGGGTCGCGGAAAGTGACGACAAGCCATGCCTCCTGGAGACAGACACCTATACCATAAATAGATGTTATGGTAAGGTAATACTTCTAGTGGTTCGCGCGAGCCTTGTGACTTGAATCATGGCCATGGGGTCGTTGCCCTCTTGTTTTTCTTTTGGACTGAGTTGGGGCAGGCCCGGCGGTCGCCACAGAGGCCGCGTGTAAATACGTATGCGTTCATTTGGATCATGTTTGGACTTAATGTTTCATCGGTTGCCGGAGCGATAGCACACAGGGTGGAAAGGTAGGTTTGCGGTGGGGATCGGCTGATTCGGCCGGGGTTTAGAGTGAATTCTGGAAAATTACACTGGTGCACTCTGTTGTAGATCTGCTTGGGGCTAGGCACCAGCAAACGCGGGTTCTCCCTTTTGGGACTTGTCGAGGTGAGGGCAGGATGGTTTGTCCAGGGAGGGTTGGCGCAGGGGGGTGGGGGAGGTCATGATATGCAACCGTTTTGACATGCCGCAGCTTGAAAGGCATCTTGAAATATGACAACAAAACACACATCTCATTGCCAAACCAAGTAGCAGCTTAAAGTGGCAAAATAAGGGACTAAGTCTGCGATTAGTTTTGGAGGACATGGGTAACCTCAAATCCTCCGATGTTCTCATGCTTTGCGCGGACAAGGAATGGTGTGAGTTGGCAAGATTGAGGAGTCCGTAGTAATGCTGACACTTCTGACATTGTGAAGCCACCTTCGGGCCAGCATGACATGTCAATCTAAGCCCTCCCGCAGCATCCTTCTCACCAGCCTGGTCTGATAATTTCGCTGCCCCGGTATACTCACCCAGCCAGTGGGCGCACTTTACACTTTTTTCCTTGGTGGCTCTCCCTTAATTTCACCTCTCTTTTTTTGGCTGGTCACTGGCCAAGTGAGCATATCATGGTACAAAACGGATCTAAAGAGCGGAAGTGCTCATTCGTTGGAAGACACGAGCGAATCTGGAAGAACCTGGCACAGGTGGCAGCATCTGTGTCCTCCCCAAATGTGGCGCGGGTTTTGCTGCGCCAGCAGCTCAGATGTCGCGCATGGCTTCCAAATCTGCGGAGGTTCCCCATGGTGGTTTCGTATTGGTTTCTCAGAGCAACCCAAGGGTACCACGTCCATAGTACAGCCAACGTATGGCAAGAGAACGGGGACGTTGATTCAAGGTTTGGGTCTGAGAGTTACCAGGCTGTTGGGTTGGTGTCTTGTTTGTCGACGGTATCATGCTTTAAGCTCAAACCATGTTTTTGCGGTCTCAAAAGGATGATGCAAATCAAAGTCGTCTTGGTATTCTCTGCTGTCTGCAGAGTAAACGACTGCGCCAGAGACCACAAAGACAGCCATCAAAGGCCTCGAGAGTTCCAGCCCATGCCAAACGGTGTCGGCACGCAGCTCAACGTGTTTCTGGTTTTAGTCCAGGGAAAGGAAGCCTGGAATCTGCAAGGTGCCGAAAAAAAAATGGGCACTCGCTTCCGCGTTCGTTTCTATTTTTGTTGACTGTGTCCTGATTGGCGGGCGTCGGTTTTTGCTGTTTGATGTGACTCAGGGGCCAGTCGCAGCCCAGGCGGCTTTTGCCCAGTGGAATTGCGCCTGCGGTTTCGCCAATTGGATGTGGGTCGAAATCAATGGTACTAATGGACCATTTTGGGCTAGGTGAATTCACCACCCATTTTAGAACCTATTTTGGTGGGGATGGGAATATTCACTGGGTTGTAACCGGGATTTTGACCCACAGCCAATTGGGTCGCTCCGAGGCTGGCGCCAGGAGCGGCGGAAGATGTTGGCGGCGGCGGCCCGCCGCTGGAAGGCCGGGGGAAGCGCATTTGATCGCTGCATGTCGACCGCTTCGAGTCGAAGCTCCAATGAGTATGGGTCAAAATGAAACAAAACCAGGAGACGGCAGGTTTGAGTCCATACGTCCATGTACGAGGGCAAGCCATTTTGGGGAACTTATTTTCGACCCACGGCCAAATGTCCGTTGGCACAATTTTCCGCGCAGCCTTGCTGTCGGTTGGAATTTCTCAGTTCGGGCCCTTGAAGCGACCTTCCAAAGCTGAGCCACTCGCTTCCATCCTGATGTCGGCTGTGGTCACAAGACCCGATTACTTGGGCTTGGTGGGAGTTTTAGACCGCGTTTTGCTAGGGGTTCCTGTTATGGGAACCATGACCTGTGGCCTGGGCGTTTTGACCATCGGTGTTAATAGAAGCTGATGGCAGCAGTTGCGCACTGACAGCTGGTGCCCCCCCGGAGGACTGCATTGAGCATCCAAAAGATTGGATAAGGAAAAACCATGCGGTGGGTTTGTTCCAAAAATGGGTCTCTCGGTCTCTAAATAAACCGTGTTCAATATGATGAATCATGAGTTGTCAGCGATGCGACGGTATGAACATCAGTTTGCTTCGTTTGAGGTACGATTTGTTGCCTTGCGTGCAAGGTCAACGACTTGCTGTGACCTAGTGCGGACAAAAAGCTTGCTTGCACGTGCAACGCTCATGTTTTGAAAGCTCGGAAACCGCCACATCAATTTAGGCAATCCAACCTGCTGTATTTTTGTCAACAGCTCTTTTGCGCTGTTGGCAGGAGGGTCAAACAACTTGGTTGGAGCACCTCAGCCCGTGGCCGTCTTAGCAGAAGTCAGCATAGCCTTCGAGCACATCAATGCAGAGAAGCGTTTTGATGTCAACGTGTTGTACTCAGTACCCGAATCTCAGTGTGAAGTTGCGGGACATACAGGACAGGCAGCCAAGAGTGGGCATGAGTTGCGCTGCATGGAACTATCTCAGTTCCGTCGCTCGCTCTGTGCCGCTACCTCAGCGGGGACCGCTGGGCCCGCTGGGCCCCGGGCCCTTTGTTCCCTGCGTAGGATTGCAAGTCGGCCTTCCCGAAGTCTTTTTTTACCGAGATTGGTTGTTTGTTGTTCAGCGTGCCTCGAAGAGCTTTCGGAAGGTAGAAATACTAGTAGTTCTCCACCAGGCATCCCCACCCCACCACACCCCTACCCTCCACCCCACCCCCACCCCAACCACCTTCCACCCCACTGCACCCCTACCCTCCACATTCCTGATATTCTTGTGGCGCAGCTCATCGCCCGGCTTCGGAGTCAGCAGCTTGTCGACCTTGGATGATGGAGCCGCTGCATCGATCCGACAGCAATCTACTGTTGGTCATTTGCCAAAGCTTGTCGCAGGGCTGGATGTTTGACCAATCATTGCACACTGCTAGAATGGCCTTCTGGCCGACTATGCCAACCTTAGCTTTGTTCCTCACTTTGTCAAGGAACTAGCAGGCTGCTCATGTAGCTGTCCATTCCTCGGGTGGCAGACTTTTACCTCCCAAGTTGACCTCGCATCACCATTCAGTGTTCTCCACAACAAAGACGAAATCAAACGCCAGTGAACATCCAGACATGGAATTCAGAAAAGCACCCTTAGACAAATCTCTTTCGGGGGGAACCCAACAAATCTTTGGGTTCCATTTCAATTTGCAGGGGGTGCTTGGTAAAAAATGCTTGGTTCACCTAGGTACCTTTTCCATACCGACCTCCACGCAGGTGGCTGAGTCGTGGAAGGAGGTAAAGAGCGGAACCTGAAACTGATCTTGTCAGAACAGGTTCTGGGAAGAAAAGGATGAAAAGGTGCCACTTTCCTGCCGTGCAAATGTGTCATCCAAGCACAAATCTGCGGAGAATTATTAGGAATGGTTACGAAATTGAAATTCGGACCATTGCCAGGGCTCCTAAGACCCTAAGTTGGAACCACGGGAACGCCCCATTGTTCTAGGGGTTGATTCCCCATTCTTTTCAGCCATCGTTCTTTAAAAATAAAAATAAAAACGATCGCCATTTCCGCAGGGTTTTTGGTGGTTTCGGATCCCTGGAAAAAATGGGGAAGTTACCCCTAGAATTGATGGAGGTTTGCTCCCAAGGCCCATTCTTCAAGCCGCCCCGGCGGCGGCCTGATCTCTGCGCTTGCAACAGGAAGCACGGATACATGGAGGGTATGTATGTTTGGGTTCCTCTTGGTTTCCCTTTAAACCAGATTGACACGGGTAGCTCAAAAGAACACAAAACCATAGGCCTTGGACAAGGGTACCTCAAAACTACACAAACCAAACCCATAGGCCTTGGTGGTTGATATCTCACCGAGAATCTCACTGATTTGCTTCACCCAGGCGGCTCAGACCTCGACCAGGCGCGCGTGTTCGCCGAAATGGCACTGGAGTCGAGCAAACAGCCGAAAGCAATGCTCCAGAATCGAAGCCTGCTAAAGCGGTGAAGGCCATGCAAAGAATCAAAAGGGCGGCACCTATTTATGGTTGGTGGCATGTTGAGACTCCGGGAAGTTCTTGAAGGCCGGAACGGCAAACAAGCCGCGATCAATGTGTCGGTCTGGTGGCAGGCAGCTTCCAGCAGCGTGCCTGCTTGGCAGTGATGGCCGCCTGACCATGATACGTTGGTTGGCTTGCTAGAGGGTATTTCCCGAGTTGCCAAGTTAGTATGGCTAAAATGACATCCTGATTTATTTGATGCCGAATGCCCACCTGAATTTGGTGTTGCATGGTAGATCTCCGATGGCTTGCGTCCAATCAACCGATACTCCATGTGAGATTGTTTGGGATTGAGAGGTGCTCAAGGATTGACTCGGTGACTCGAGCCCCACGTATGCCCATTTTCTGCCAGATCTAAGGCTGCGACAGCAACGCGGCAGATCATGGCGAAGCATGGCGAGAAGCTGTCAGATGAGTGCCCTCGAAACACGTGTAAACGACTGCCAGGTAGCATAATTTGCTAGATAAATGCAGCCACGATGTTTTGGCCCTGCTTTGGTTTGACATATTTGTAGACCTGCAAGTTGAACTCTTGCTGTTACCTTTGAACCACGTTTCAGTGCAAAGGGACGGATGGAGTCCTGGCAACAGAAATCTGCGCTTATTTGACGGCCTTTTTATGGCTCGCATTCACCTCCCAGCTCACCATGCCAGCTATGCAGACCAAAACAAAGGCCTTTGAAGACGATGGAAGCAATTGGCTGGTGTCAGGTACGCGAACAGGCAGGCACCTTCGATGTGCTCGCACTTTCGAGTGCAAGTCGTCGGCTGATTTGCTGAAGCGCGTGTTTGTCGCAGTGATGCGTTGCTGAATAGCACACAAATACATCACACCTGGCTGTGGCTCACAAAAATGTACCAAAATGGCACCTTGGTAAACCGTCCACACACCCCTCTCATTGCCAGCATGTGTCTTTGCCAGGATACCCAACACAGACGCGGAGATCCTGAACTTTTTTCTGCGTTTCCTGTCAGATCAAGGCCATGGCTTTGGCTGGAGTGGCATGTTCACTGCGAATGAGTGTACAGTGTACAGCGTCCAAAACTGAGAACTGATTAACATGGCCAAGGAGGACTACATTGTTTTCGGATTGTGAGCTGTCTTTGTGAGAACACTGGGGAGGCAATCTGCGCGCACTAAAGGCCCCCGCTTCAGCACGCTCAAGAAGTACAAAGTGCATTTTGTGTTGCAGACATGCATGGCTTTCCTTGCTGCTCGATAGACACGCTTCGGCTGCTGGGGGTGGCTTGCAACATGCCCGCTTTCCACTCGCACCATTGTAATTATCTTTGCTGGATTTAAGTTTTGGCGGCAAGAATGACCGCCCGCCTGTTTGCGGGAACTCACAGGGTGGTCAATCTTTGTTCACTTGACAAAGGCTCAACAAAACAATGAACCAACTTACAGCCAACGTTCCCATGAAGGTTGATATACATCCCAGACCTTCTACATCCACATAAGTGTACACATGTGTACGTAAAAACACAGACACACACACACACACACCCACACATACACACATACACGCATGCACACGCAAACGCATACACACGTGCACACGGAGCTACACGCATACACGCATTCAGGCATACACACATACACGCATACATACCCACACACACATACATAGATACATACACGCATGCACACATGCACACATGACTGTTCTTGGCCTGGGACTGGTCGTGGGTTCATGCTGAGCCGGAGATGCGCAGTCCTTCGTGCAGCTAGTTTCTCGACAAAGCATGCCTGTTCTCACCAAGACACCTTCTCGTTATTTTCGTCGACCCACAACAATTTCGTGAGAAGCTGGTGAGGAACTTCTCACTTGCATCCTGAATTCAGGGCTGCGTCACATGCCTCCACGTGCCAATTTCTCGGCTATTTGCAGGCCTGCCAATGGTGCCCGTCTTCATCAACGGTGGCTACGCGAGGCCCTCAAAAGGCAGCCACCGGTTGAGCTGATTGCCAGCCTGCAAAGTAACCACGCCAGCCTATGCATGTGGCAGTTGCATGTGCCGAAGAGGCCGGAGGGTGACTGTTGGCTCATGCAGCATATTATAATATATCATGAGTTGGGCTATGCAATGGGTTCACTGGCAGCTTCTTGTCTACATTTGTTGCATGGAAAGCAAATCAAGCAAAGCACATATTTGGGTGAATCAACCCCATCCAAGTAGCATGACGTTTGGATTGACACATTGGAACCTTGTTCGGGTTGTGCAAGTGAGGCCACACGGAATCTCCTATTTGGCATCGATCGTTTGGATCCATCGCGTTGGCAGCCAGGTCCGCATGTTTGAAGGGCTGAATTCCAGTTGAAAGGTCGAAGGAACTTGGGAACTTGGCATTTGTACATCTGGCTGTGGCTTAGAAAACCGGTGCCAAAATGGAACCCTGGTAAGTGGAAACATGGACCAAAAGCTGCGTAACCCCTCCTGTTTAATTTTGAGCCACACCCATCTGGATTTCGCTGTCTTCTCTCTCAACAACCCCATGCTACCAGCTCGCGTCTGAACAAAAGCGTAACGTCCGATCAAGAAACTTCGAAGGGATCCCCTCGAGAAAAATGGACCCCGCTCAAAAGTGAATTCAGAAATGCCATGGGTCAAGATCCCGTACCCCCAGTGAACATCCCAATCCCCACAAAATACAGTAGGAAGCCTAAAATGGGTAGTGCACCTACCCCAGAATGGTATCATTGGTTTTGACAACCACTGCCAAATCAGCTCCGAGGTCAGGGATCTTCTCCTGGGCAAAGAGCCGGACGACCTCGACCTCTCGCTCTGCCTCCGTGATTGCCCAGAGGAGGCCGGACGCGGATGTGAGAGGCAGGCCATGGACACCTTTGAAGAGCATCAAGCGGAACGTTTCAGCAGAATTATGGTGTTTACCCTCCCTTCCACTAACATGGCACCTTTCAGAGGGTACCTGGAAGATTGGTTTCCTCTTCAAGGGACCCTATGTCTGGTGCTATGATAGTTGGAGGGGGGGGTAGCCGGTTTTCTTTCGGAGGGTCAGCCCAACCATGGCGGAGATAGTTCGGCTGCAACCCTTTGGTTCTGTTCTTTGCTGGTGGCATGGCCGCTCTGTGGATAGCTTTTCTATGCGGCCAGGTTACAGTCGCCTCCCTTCTGGATGAGATGAAAACCTATGTGGAGAGCAGGCCACGTGCTCCATGGAGAACGTCAAGCTATCTTGGATCACAGTTGTTTTTTTGCTGGAGACCACATTGAGAGACTGTAGGGAGACACTTGGTCAATGTGGGCTTTCGAGAACCAGTTGATCACCCCACGATTGCCAACGCCGCAGTTGAAAAGCCATAGAAGGTGCCGGTTAGCCATGCAAGGTTGCTGTTTGTTCCCCCTGTAATGAAGTAAGCAAAAAACCTGGAGCAGAAAATGGTGACGGATTCGGTCGGTCGGCTGAAATGTCTCATACTGAGAGCCTTTCGATTGGTCAGTTTGGCCCTCCCCGCAGGCCCGAGTTTGGCATCACAGAGTTCAAAAATGCGAGGGTGCTCAGGTATGGTCAAAACCAAAGCAGATTGAGTGGAGGCAGCTAGTTCGAGCTCTTGGCAAAGGCAAAGATTCCCATTCATCTCATCCGAGCACTATTCAACATGAATAAACAAAGGGCTGTTCTTTGTTTTGGCGCGTCCACATTTTGAGTCCACAAGGACACACGGAATTTTCAGTGCTCAGCTCTTCCAGTCTTGTCGCGAATCAGCCTCTGAATCTTGCTTCCCATACGGGAGTTGGGCGGAAGCAACACAAAACGGTGTCATCATTGCTTGAGGTGTAGATTGATGGGTTCCACAACTCCCGCTCCGCCTTGGAGCCAGTATCTGCCCTCTTTCACGTTTATGACTGATTTTAGAATTAGGCCAATGTTCAATACCTCGATGTCCGATTGTGTTGCTTTCAGAGCCAACCTACATTTGCATGCTATCCAAGTTGCGACAGGTAGTCGGGTGTATGCCAGGGTATCTTTGCCACTAGCTTCGCCCATTGCCTTTTCATCAGCCACGGTCTTCCGTGTCACTTTGCTGCATGCTGCTGGAGGCTTTCTGGCGCCATTTACATGGTTTCGGCTAGGGATGAAAGGCTTAGAACCAAGGAGACAACAGCATGTGTCATACTTGCAGGATCTGTTTTCCGGCGGGGTGGTAAGTACGTTAAAGTGCGGCATCAAGCCTCATAAGGGTGTTGAAGGAGCCCAGGGCTTTGGCTTTTTTCCTAGCAAATCTCGCTCCAATGTGGCGAGCCCAGGCTACAATCCTCTCCAACGAGTCCAAGGACAAGCAATTGGATACGTTCAAGGCAAGCAGCCTGCCTGGGAGAATAGATTGCACTGGCAGATGTCCAAACTCATCTAAACATAATTTGGTGCACGGTGGCACGTGTCAGGCCCACTTCACCAACCAGGATGGGGTCAAGACAGAGGCGTGCAGTAAGCACGGAGATGGAAGAACGGGCAAGCGTTTCAGGTGGATGTGATGCCAACAATCGGCGAGGAGAAGTACTGTGATGACAACAGGCGAGCTTTTGTCGGCCAATCACTGGCCAAAAAGCACTGCCTGGCGACAGCCGACTGACTGCACTGCCTGCTTGACGTGCGAGAGAGCGTGCCAGGATCCCAATTCGGGATCAGCGAGGGCTACCTGAGGAGGATGCCCTGCTGCGCACTTACCGGCCGAAAAGTCAAAGCTCAGAAGTCAGAGGCCGCTGGGTCATGTGATGGCTGAGGCGGCGCGACCTTACCATTGGAGCCTTGCTGTTGCGCTGGGGCCTCAGAGTAAGCGACGGATCAGGGCTTGAGAGCAAGGCACGACTCTTGAGACCGTCCTCCACTGCTCAGGTGTGCAGCACGCGAAGGGTGGAGATTCCGTCGACTGCCCCAGGTTGTCCATCAACAGGGTTGATGTCTTTTTGATTGCGGACGTATTGTTCAGAGAGAGTGGGCGAGTGTAATGTTTCCCAGAGCCGGCTCTTTGAGAGCTGGGGTATTTGATTGGGGCATGGCAGATCCAAAGTCACTGGACAGATTGTATTTGCAATGCAGTGCACTTGCATGATAGCTTGAAATATTTGAATCAAACAGAACATGACATGCTTCTAGCAGGTTGATTGGGCATCAAAAACCCTTGGCCAGAGCCATCATTCTCTTCTAATTCAGGGAAGCCCAAGCGGGTTCTAAGAAACGGGTTCTATCAAACGGTTCCAGTCTGAGCCAAAGGACGATTCTAAGCCATTTGGGTATGGGTAAAAATGTATCTAGTAAGGAATGGCAGGTTTAAATGATGGTTTCCATTTTCCTTGGTTCCACTTTGGGCACCTGTTTTTGACCCACACCCATTTAAGTTCGAAGCCATTCAACGGGCCCACGGAATGAGTGCCTGGGCATATTCTTCCTGAGGACCTGCAATTCGAACTCTTGGACTTCTACGGTGGTGCCCAAAGCTCAATGCGCCTATAGCGGCTGCGGATACAAGGGCTATAGGGTTTATAGAGATCTCTTATGGTTACAGGGGGATGTTATGGCTAGATATGGGATGATATGGGAGATATACGTTATAGATGTGGTTACAAGGGAAATGTGTTCTTTATAGGGTTTATGGGGGAGATATGATGTATGATATGGATAGAACGTATGCATTGCCGTGAGCGACACCCAGCAAGGACATTTGGTGGGTTGGCAAACGGTGTCAGCCCCCTGTTAGGGGCCAGCGTTGCAGTCAATTTGCTCCGCCTGTCGCGGAGGGCCCGAACGGAGTTATTGTTTGGTCAGCTCCTGTGTGCCAATGCCAAGTCACGGAATGCTGCTGTTTCCTTGTTCAGGAGGGGCCGGTCATCCCACTAAAACAGAGGCCTCATCATATATTTGCCTAGACACCACGGTGCGATCTCTGCGCTGGCCCCTCAAGAAAGCTGTGTAGGAAATAAATAGCACTGTCTAACAAAAACCCTACAGACCATCCTTGCTGCACCTCCCAAGCACATGTGACTTCTCCATGCTCGAAATCATATCCTCCCCATGAGGCGCGCCTTTTTTCTTCGGGATCGGATGCCATTGGCGGCTGTGTTCGCGGAAAAATGTGAGGTGGATGACATCCGGCTTGGCGTCCTGCGGTCTCCTTGTTGGAGCCTCGGATTTCAGTGAGGGACCGGAGACGCGATCAGTCCAAATTTGTGGATGCCAGTGCCTTCCCACCTCTTTCTGGAGCCGTCAGAAACAAGGTTCTGCGGTTTGATCTCAAGTTTGGCTAGAATGTGGCCTCAAAAAGGGAACTGGCTCTTGGAATGTTTGGCCTAGGATGGAATACTCGATTGTGAAGTGACATCTCGGATGCAGGGAGCAGTGCCTTCGAGGGACGATCTACTTGAGCACAACTTCGGTCGAAATGTTCAACAGTCACTTTTGAATCTGAGAGGGGCAGGGAGGACACTCGAAGTTTCCCAGAAAAACGAACTTCAATTTTCTTCCCTGGGCAAGTTTGGACCGTGGCTCAAGGAGGGCTATTTTTTGCTCGCCACTTGGCCCAGGTCCCCTCAAGAAGAGCCCATCGGAAGTGGCCGACGTGGTGCTCAGGCCGGGAAGCCCCGGCCGAGAGTTCGTGGCCTGCGATTTGCATTTGCCGCCTGACGAGTCGTACCCTGGCAGTACATGTGCCGGGCGCTTTTCTTGTTTTTTTTCGCTGAGCCCCAGGACAGCGGAGGACAAAGAGCTCGCCAGAGCCCCAAATGCAAAGCTGCAGGTTGAATTATCAGACACCAGCGATGGGGTTAAGCGCGCCTGTCCTTCCTTTGACCCTGGGCGCAAGACAAAGCTGGTTGCAAACTGATTTGACTGAAGATCTCATCTTTCGTTGGAGGAAGCGTATCCACGTTCCTCATGAATTGCTCACTTCTGCAAGGCAGCTTCACGATCTGCCACAATAGCGTGTTTGCAAGCATTGTTGCAAGAGTTTGAAGCAGTGTGTTGGCTAGTTTGTTTGGCTACTAGCATTTGCCCCCATGCCAGGTCTGGCATGTTGCCCAACCCCGCAGCTTTTGGCTGAGGGTTGGCCAGTTTTGCTAAAATGCTAAAGCGAGCGGCATGATGGAAGGAGCCGCGCAGCGGAGCAATGTTCAATCATGTTCAATCTAACAGAGTGCTAAGTGGGTACCCTAATTGAAGCAAACAAAATTGGTCAACTGTGCATGTTCACATTTTGTCTAGGCTTTCCCCATTTGACGCTTTGGCATGATCTGACCAGTGCGCGTTTGGGGTTCCATGCGCTGGATATGTCCACAAATGCAAGCAAGGTGCGGCGATAATCTTGCATTAGGATCACAGTGCGGGCCATGTCCCTTCACAGGCCGTTGCTGCTTTTACTCGCCGGAGGGCTGGTGCTTTGCCTAAGCGACCTGAAGTAGGTCCTGAAAATTGCTTGAGCTGTGCCATGATGTGCGATGCGGGTCGGTGAGTGTCCTGAGATACTGGCAAGCCAAGGCATTTTCCAACTGGCAGCCAAAGAGGAGTGCTGTCACGCGACGCGCAGAGGCTTCGAAGAAGGACACGCTGTCAGACCATGGAATGCCTCGCAGATATGAAGCATTTTGCGTGGGAGAAAGCTGATTTGGTCCTCAGGAGGTCGTCTACAACTACTTTGCTCAGGAGCCGGGGACATGTTGAGGCCAACCGGTTGCGTTTGGAAGGCCAAACGGAAACCGCTACTGCTCTGCAGCAAACCCGGCCCCAGCCCTGCAGCACTAGCCTGGCTGTGGGTGGTCGAAATCCTGCACCACCTAAGAAACCCCGGAATGATGACTTCCCTGTAAATACCAACAAACCAGGGCTTTCCACGGTATCGAAGTGGTGCAGGATTTCGTCCATCCACAGTATCACTTAGACCTTATGTTTTTGGTCTTTAAGACAAACCATGCTGAGCGTTGTGAAGCTCACCAGGACTATGCGGTCATCACCCGCGAGCAGAAGCCCTTTGACGCAGGCGATTTCAAAAGAGGGGTCCCCTAAAATGGCTGGTTTCCTTTTGGTTTCCCTTTAAAGACCAACTAAGAAAAGCGGTCACCATTCTGAGAAGCTGTGACGGATTTGTTCCGTTTGGGCTTCGCCCTCTAAAATTCCCCGCAAAATTCAGGGGACTCACAAGTCATTTTGACTCTGGCTACAAGGAAGCTGACCATATTGCTCGAATTTCAGCCTGCGGGCGAGAAGGCAAGCGGCATGTGTGTCAGCCTGGACGGAAATCCCGTCGAACCATCTGCAGACTGCGAACGGATTTCGTCCATCAACAAACACTGTGTGTGTGCCCTTTTTCGGAAACCAAAAGGAAAGCCCGCAATTTTTGGGGTCCTCCTTTTCTGACTATCCGGGCGTGTCTTAACATGGACACCGGAAAAATGTATTAATGTTTAGTTCCCGCGTAGTTTCCCTTGAAACCCACAAAATTTCAGGGCCAGCCTCGAAAAACGGGGGCCACAGCCACATGAGCCACAATGAAAACCCGGGTAGATGTTTTTGTTAGTAAGGGGCAGTCTCAGCCAGAAATAGTTGCGGATATCCGCCTTCTGAATTCTTGAACCATTCTTCTGGGATTACGACCATGTTAATCCTGGGTTTTGAGCAAGTGCCACACATGTCCAAAACGAAAAACATGTTTAGTTTCCTTTTGGTTTCCTTTTGGTTTCCCTTCAAACCCACAAAGAAGAAAGGGCCAGCCTCAAAAAACGGGGGCCTTAGCCACCGTTTCCCAAAACGACGGCCGCGTAACATGCCCAGAGCGAGGCCGGTGGCTCTCCGAGCTGCTGCCCTGGTCTGCTGGGGAGCTCCGAGCCAGGGAAGTCTTGGACGAGGCGAGGGCTTTTTGCCTCGGAGCGCGTGGGTTTTGTTGGGAGGGTTGGAGTTCTGAAGGAAAAGTACATGGTGAAGGGGCCAAAGGCAAGTTGTTTTTTAGGTCATGCAACGGAATCAAGCCGATGCTGCAATTGAGCATGTTTGGGCTTCCGGGCAAGTGAAGGTTAGCAAACCACAGTCCCAAGGAAAGAACTCGGTGCCGGCTTCGGAGTTCTTTACACTGGCTTAGAGACCGTTTTGAGACCAGGTTGGATTGTTGGGTCCTGGAAGACCAGGCTTTCAGTCCAAGTCTTGGTTTGGATAGAAATATGGGCATTTAAGAGTCGATCAAACATCGGCTTGCTTTTGTTTAGATTCAACAGGCGAACCTGAGGGAAAATCTGCGTTGTGAGGGTTCGCACTGGGCATGAATGTCGGATCAAATGTTGACGTCAGTGGAAGGCGTCATATGTTTTTTCCTGGTGGAAGGCTACCAAGGAGGAGAGTCACGCGCGTCAACCTTGCAGGCTGGAGGTCAAGTGGCATTTGAAGAACCACGACCATATGAAGCTGTTTTTGTTGGGGACCCTCTTTGGTAGTGGCGTTGAGCCCTCGTCGACAACTTCATGTGCCTACCGGCGCCAACTGGTTGGGGTGTGCCCTTTCTTAGACGGCATCCTGGACTGTTCGGGGGACACCTTGGCATCCGCAAGGTTGAAGAATCCAATGGCAACAGTACATCTTTGGCTGTCGGCTTGTGTTTATTGACCATTGAAAAATGAACTAGTGTTTATTGGTCATGATATATTTGGTTAGTGTTTGATATGTCTTTATATATTTATTTATATATAAAGACAAGGTCCGGCTTGGCCTTGCGCGCTACCAAACACTTATGCGGAATATGATTTACGTTCTTAAGGGCAAGAACGCAAGGCCCCCCAGACATTGCGGCGGGCCCGGCATAGATTGTGTTTCTTCGGCTCCTACATGTGAAGCAAGTACTTTCTCAACTTATTCCCTGATGCCCTTTGTGCAACCAAACGCAATGCGCTCCCTTCTGTTTCTAGCCAAGCATATGCCTTTGAATAATCAGAGTGGGCAGCATGATTCACCAATAGCAATAGCATGAATCTTGGTTTTGCAAGGGCGAGAAGGTAGCAGATGGTAGCAGACAGAGCATGCCTGTTGGAGGGCAGGACTTGTTCACTCCGAGGGCCGTGCGGTGCACACATCACAGGGGATGACATGGGAGAAGAGAATTGGACCATCGATTCACAAGAGAACAGATCAGCTGGAAGTAGCCCGGCCCAACGTTGAATTATAATCTCTTCCCTCCTTTTCGGAAAGGATGCTATGGATTCTGACCAAGGATCAGCCTCCAAGCCGCTTGCATCGCCCCTATGCAGTTTGAAGCATCAGCCTCCGAGCCGCTTGCATCACCCTCCAATCTGTTTGCCCCATCACCCTCCAAGCCACACCAGCCGCCCCTTCAGCCCCAAGTGAGCCATAATCAAAATGCGAGTAGATGAAGGGTAGTAAGGGACAATCCCAACCATAAATAGCTTCGGCCGCCTTCTTAGTTCTTTACATAGTTCTGGGTAGACCAGTTTAATACCGGGCTTTGAGTAGGTGACTCAGGTGCTGCCGAAGTGGCGCAGCATCGAAGTGGGGCCCAAGACGGACCTGGCGCTCCGGCGCCGCTTCCGAGCGCTGGCCGAGGCAGCCGGAGGCGCATTTCCGCCGCAGATCCGCCGGAGGGGGCGAAGGCGGAAGCTTGAGCCAAGGGGGTCACCGGGGTCTCTATTCGATTTCGTTTCTTTTCTTGGTGTCTTCGATTTTCGTATTTTTCTTATTCTTCATATTTTCCTTGAGCCTTGGGCAAAACAAGGAGGCATCGGGTCCAATCAACCATAGGTGCACGCAATTCTAGCTGGCCGCGTTATGGCGGGAAGCGATGATTAAAACATCAAATTTGATAGAGAAGCAAGGAGCCCCAAACACGGGCAATCCTGTGTCACTGCCGGGGAATGTGACATAACATTTGTATGTTCAATGTGCATTCAATTTTGCGTGTTGTGTAGGTATAGTAGAACCCCCTTGTGTAACATTTCACAAACTCTGCTAAACTTATGCTGCCTTACTTCCCCCTCAGGCTAGTTTCAGGTTGGTTTAGAGTGTTGTGATAGCCAGTCAGACGGGAGGAAACTCCTGCCAGAGAGTGGGGCCTCACCCGTCAGGTGATGAACCTGCGCTTGCAGCCATGAGGAAGAACGTCGCAGTTCTCTACTTTGGAGAGGACAGCTCCAGATCAGTGCAAGTGCTTGTCATTGTCTGCATGCGTATTACTTTGCAAAGACGGAACAAGGCAAATATCAACTTCAGTGTGCCAACCAGCCACCAGAGTTCGGGAGTTTGCTGCTCATGTCAAAGCTGGCTTAAAAGGGAGGTTGTGCTGTAGGAGGTTGGCGCTATTTTCATTCCGCCTTCTCCGACTCACACCACCAACCTGGCTGGACCACCCTGGTCCCAATTTGCTGTTTTAACCTGGTCATTTTTAGTGAGTTGGCAGGGCCAGATCCAACGTGCTGGCGAGACGTTGACGCGATGCCTTGGGAAGGAGAGGCCCGGCTAAAGATGTGAGCATGGCCACGTATCACATGCCACACTGCCGTGATTTCAAGCGTGTCACTCTCTCTCGTTGGAGAGTTTGGCAGGGCGATGCAGATCATCCAGAAGAATCCGGGCGCGCTGACCATTGATCCCGAGTGCTTCGGACAAGATTGGGGGAACAATTCATGAAGCATGAGCAACGAAATGTGCGGCCTGCAATTTGCTTTCTTGAATGCTGAAGAGCAAATCCAAAGCTGTAGGAATCTGGAGAGCAACATGGGCTCTGTTTGCCTGGCAGCTGACGCTCTCGATGTGGTCATCAGTAACGCGGAGATCTCTCGCACGGTTGGAGGAGAAGCTGGCATTGCATCGAACTTACTTTCAGCCTTGCTTGGATAGGGCAACCCCCAAGCAGGAGTAGCCATGTGAGACCCGAAGATGTGTGTGACCAGTTCTGTTTTAGGTGTTTGTTAGTTTGGATTGATTGATTTGGCTTGGACCAGTGTCGCATCCTCTATGAAGGTCAAGCATCCTCAAAGTGCATGCAGCCGCAATTTGGAGGTTCCCAGACCCAAAAGCTTGATTCTGGCTCCACTCCAACGTAAACGAACCAAGTGTTGGCTTGCCCTGAACGGAAGGTTGAAAGGTCAGCCACAGAATTCTGTCCTCAGGAGCACTCGGCGGGTTCTTCGCTATCAGCATCGGCAAAGCAGTGTTCGATGTCGTTGCGCTTCGTGTCATGCAGGGCTAGATGCGTCTAGATGTCTCACCTTGGGCGAAGTGGCATTGTGTTGCTGCTGATCGTTTTGGCTGAGCGAACTCTACTTCGACTCACAAGCACCGTGGAACCATGCGCCTGTGCGCATATCTCACGAAAGGCCATCCTGCCGGTTTTGTGATGGCTCAGCGCCGCTGCTTCTGATTCCAGCTTCCCGTGAAAAGAGCGATGCAGAGGCATTGTGCTTTGTCCAGCGAACACGCCACCGTTTACTTCAGTGCAAGAAATAGGATCAGGATCCTAGGATCTTGGCAGCAAGCTAAGGCACTTGACAATCATGGCCTGTAAAGAAGACAAAGGAGCACGGAATGCATCGGCTTTCTTGGTAGAGGTCCGCCTTGCCATGTTAAAATATTGAACCCATGCGTCACACGGCTGGAGGGTGGGCTGAATGCAGCACTCAGGCCAAGCACCTGGGGATAGAGGAGTTGTCCCCAGAGGAGGCTGCCAGAGCCTCAAAATGGGAACTGGCGGGTGAACACTGTTGACCCCTTGTAAATCAAAATCCGGTTTATTAGTATCCAAGAAACCAACTACAGGAAATTCTATAGGAACCTGGCGAGCTTCCTGTAGAATTTCCTGTAGCTGGTTTCTATGATAGTAGCTGGGCGTTCCCCTCCAAAAATGATGATTCCCCACCAAACCCAGGGACACCCCCTATTGACAAACTGGGGTTGATTAATATGGGGTCAACATTAGTGGGGTGAGGCAAATTTTCGCTTTTGTGGACTGCGCACCCAATCCACCGGATGCATCCAAATGCTGTAGAACGGTGACAGCCGGGTTGCCAAGTGCAGAGGTACAGATCCTTTGGTGGGGCAAGGCCAGGATTTCAGCTGGACCTCGGGCCTCATCGCTGCACTCGATTGAACTTGAGCCATGTCGCATTGCAAAGCTTGAGCGAAAAGCTCCACGCAGATGTGCGCCAGGTGCTCATCGACGACCCTTTGCGGATTTGCAGGGCCTTCCGCTTTGCCGCAAAGTTCAAGTTCAAGCTGTCCTGGTCCCAGAAGTGAGAAGGGAAGTCTACGTGAGCCACAACCAAAACCCAGGTAGATGAAGGTTAGCAAGGGGCAGTCCCAGCCAGAATTAGTTGCGGCGGCCTTCTTAATTCTTTACATGGTTCTGGGTGGACCATTTTAATACCGGGTTTTGAGCAAGTGACTCACGTGACCCGTCTGGCAGCCTGGGACGCCTGAGGCATCCAGCATTTTGGATGGTCACGCGCCCAGCCCCGATTCCAAAGGAATGAGACCGCTTCGCCTTCCAGGGCCCTTTGAAAATTGAGTCGCATGTTTGACGCCGGCAGAGCCACAAGGGCAGAGCAAGAAGAACGACTTGATGGGCAACTGACTGATACCTTCAAAGAAGTGTATGATGCTTTGTGCATTCTGATCCTCATGTTAGAATTGAACACCATTTCGACCTCGGAAGATAACGAGCCTTCAGCATTTCCCCAAGGCAGCGCCATTTGCGCTTGAGTCGTGGCCTCAAAGTGCGTGCCATTGTCAGTGAAGGAGCAAGCTACTTTCACATTGCCAGTGAATTGAGTGTAGCCTTGTTGTTGTTTTTCTCGAACGATGCGCCGCAAGCTCTCATGGATACAAGAGGGCGAGTTTCTTGAGATCTGAGCGCGGCTTTCTAACTAAAGATCTGGGTGATTTGTTTGTCCGATCTTTAGCAAACACTAAGACATATTCAATGTCTTCATTTACCGCAGCAATGGGTTCAAGGCACATGTTGAAACGTCGCCGGCTCTCCGGCGGATCGCTCTGCCTGGGCGCGGCTCTTTGCGCCTCGGAGAGATGCGAGCCCTTCGCGCACGCCGGAAGTGAAGAACTTGGCCCCCGGTCGGTCAGGGGTTGCTCCATTTCCCTTTGTGGATCCTCCAAAAGTGGCAGTCAAAAGTGGCAGTTTCAATGAGAACCACCAGTGAATTGCGACTTTTGAAAGGGAAATCCAGTGACCCCTGTCGTTGGCACTCTGCATGCACTTGCTTGGAACCTTTAGATACGAGGTGGCGTGCCGTTGACTTCGTCCTTTCGGCCGACTTCGTTGCGAAGTGTGGCCAAAATGGCGGAGGAGCGACTGAGGTTGCAAGGCTCTGAAAGAAGGCCGCAACCCCAAGGTGGTCTCAAATGCCAAACCTATTCTGGCAACCGAGTTGCAATGCCTCGGGCCATCAGATGAGCGGGAGGGAATACTTCCAAAGTGACATTGCAAACATCATGCCTCTAGCAGAGGTCCGTGGAAGCGAGGTTGACAACACCCTCAGTTTCATACCAAGGTGTTTTTCTTTGCTACTGGCTTTCCGCAGCAACCCTGATTCCCAAGTTGACAGTTCGCAGACTTCTGTTGTTTGTTTTAAAGGCCCCTTGTCCACTTGATTGGACGAAGGGTATCAGACACAGCGATTGGTTCCCGACTCACCAATGAACAGGAGGCAAAGCCCCGCGCAGCGCTGCTGTTGATCGACCTTCAGAAGGCCTAGAGCGAGCCCCTCCAAGCTTCGACATGTTGCGGTTGAGTATACATGTTTCTCGGTGGGTGTTTCTTGGTTTTAAAGGAATATGTGGCGTGCAACTAGATTTAGCATGTATTCACGTGCGATGTGTTTTCAGAATCAGAGGAGCTTGCTCCAGCTGAAGATATGCTTTGGGCTCCACGTTCCTTTTCCGCTAAGACGCCATCCGTAAAGAGCCACTGGAGGCCGTGGCCTATCCGTCAATGCTCCCATAGGCCTGAGTGAGTTGTTGGGAGGCCTTCACCAGTGGCAGCTGGGCGTCCTACTTTGGGGGCGAGAGCGAAGTGACGGACATCTCAAGGGCCTGCAAGGAGACTGCCAGGCTGCTGGGCTGGGGCCGCTCAGTTTTTTTTTGGCTTTTTACGCGAGGGGAGGTTCGCGTTGAATGCTGGAGCCAAGAATGTTGGAACACGAAGTGCTGCGCAACAGAGGCCTTGCTTCTATGTTCTTTGCACCCTGTCAGGCTGCTGCAGAAGCTCCCACCAGAAACACCCGTGTTGTGCACGAAGTGCTACTTGGACCTTCCGCAAGATGAGCCGTACATCGATGAGATCGAGCCCTTGCTGAGGAAGTACCCATGTTCCTTGCTCAGATTGCTCGTTGGGTTTCTGCGGGCATCTCTTGGGTCGATTTGCATGAAAAGCAAGGCGTGATGTTCAGAGTCGTTTCGCCCGAGGTATCCACAAGCCGACCATGGATGTGACACGGAACCCGGCCTTCTTCCAATGGCTGCGGCAGCAGGTCCAGCTGCTGGGCGCGAAAAGGGGTTCCCTGGCAGGGGGGTGGAAGCATGTTTGGCAGGCAAAGGGTCCATTGGCATGTATGTTCTATGGGTATGACTCGGTATGACTCGTCAAAATCGAGAAAGGGGGTTGTCCTTTTGGCTTCTCTTTAAACCGGCAGAAACAGGGTGCCCTCCAAACAACTACACACATGCACAGGCGCACACACGCACAAAAGCGCAAAAAAGCGCGCACACACAGACACAGACACAGACACAGACACAGACACAGACACAGACACAGACACATACACAGACACAGACACACACACACACACAGACACACACGCACAGACACACACACAGACACACACACACACAGACACACACACAGACACACACACACAGACACACACACACACACAGACACACACACACAGACACACACACACACACACACACACACACACACACACACACACACACACACACACACACACACACACACACACACACACACACACACACACACACACACACACACACACACACACACACACACACGCGCACACCACACACACCACACACCACGCACACGCACACACCCACCCACCCACCCACCCACCCACACACACACACACACACACACACACACACACACACACACACACACACGCACACACACACGCACACACACACGCACACACACACGCACAAAAGCGCACAAAAGCGCACAAAAGCGCACACACGCACAAAAGCGCGCACACACACAATTGCAAAATCACACACAAGCACACACACAAGCACACACACACAAGCACTTGCACATACACACACACAGACACACACACAGAGACACAGACACAGAGAGACACACACACAGAGACACACACACAGACACAGACACACACAGACACAGACACAGACACAGACACACAGAGACACACAGACACACACACAGACACACACAGACACACACAGACACACACAGACACACACAGACACACACAGACACACAGAGAGACACAGAGACACACAAAAACACACAGAGACACACACTCACACATACACACCACACACACACACACCACACACACACACGCACTCACAAGCACTCACAAGCACTCACAAGTACTCACAAGTATTCACAAGTACTGAACCAATGACATAGGCATTTTTTTTCTGTTCTACTGTTTCAGCAAGGCGGGCACCTCGATTCAGATAGATGCTAAGCCTTAACATTGCCGAGTGACTTCTGTGTGTCGATGTTTTGCTCATGGGAGTTTCTGTGGCATTTGCCCCAAGTGAGCGCTCAAGTGGGATGCACCCAGCAGGTGGGTTAGGCATCCCAACAAGGATCCCCGGAATTTGATTCTCTTTGGCCTGCTTTTGGTCCTGCTGGTTTCCCTCACCACTATATAGCTCGGGATTTTTTTCAGGATGCTACTCTCTCATGGACCCAGTCAGCCTTGTCTCGGGGGTTTACTGAGGCAAGGCTGCCGTCTTCTGGTGATTGGGGGCTGCACCACCACCTCCTGCGTGCGCGTGAGCTCTACGGAGATCCTGAAACAGCTGGACAAGCACGGCCTCCAGGGGCTGCGCGTTGTGGCCGGGAGATTGAGATGTGTTTGTTGAATCGTTCTTTCTTTCTTTCTTTCTTTCTTTCTTTCTTTCGTTCCTTTGGTTAGTTCTTTGGTTGCTTGTGTGTTTCTTTGTTTGTTTGAGTTGCCCAAATCCCCGGTGCTGCCTCGGAAGGATGGTCTGGCATGTCATCCCCAGAGGAAAGAAAGGCTCTGCCCCTAGAGGTGGACTTGAACCTCTGCGGCGCGCGGAGCGAGAACTTCGCGAAAAGGGCGGCCGAGGACCCCGTGTTGGTGAGGATCTACGGGCTTTCCGAGTGCCAGGGGAAGTCGGCCGTGGACCTGGCGATTCTGCAGATGCGAGGTGCCGGGGTTGAAGTCCAGGAGGATGCGCAGCTTTGGACATGAAGCTACTCGACTTGTTGAACCCGACCTCTCTTGAGCGGTGTTCAGGGCGGTTGACCTTTCGCGTGCAGACTCCTCCCATGACTTGGGAAGAAGGTGAGTCGACGGACAAGCACGCCAAGCTGGGCCGGACGTGTTGGAGATGATCCAAGAGATGGCGCAGGAAGCGGGAAGGAAGCGGCAAGACTCAGCTGCGCGGAAACAGATGCGTGTATGCGTGTCTTGCCTTCTGGCATGGCTGCGAGGGTATCCCACCTTTTCCAGGGCCTGGGGTTTCGTGAAGTTTGGCATCCTAAGGCCTTTGCGAACTAAAGTGGCCGAAGCCCCAGCTATCAAGCGAGGGATCAGCGCATGTAGGCTAGCAAGCAAGCGTGACAAAACCGGAGCCCGACGTGAGGGGTTGAGAGCATTGTTCATGGGGTTCATGGCACAGAACCGGCACCTTGGCCAAGAGAGGCCTTCTTTCTCACTGGGCTGACATGTGCCGAGGCTGGAAGTCGTAAGTTCACCGAGTATCACAAGATCGGAGGCATCGACTCGCGGAGTTCGGATCGGAGGCAGTCGCAAACTTGGCACAAGTCGATCCGTTCTATTTGAGGGTACCCAAAAAACATATGTGAGCCTCTCGTTGGTTTCCTCTTAAACCAACACCCACCGCAAAAGACATACCCACGTATCTTAGTATCTTACACCTTTACACATGTTCAACGCTGGGAACCTCTGGGTTTAGAACCAAAAAAAGGAACCGCCGCCTGCGGGGCGCCTTTTCCCTTTTCCCAAGGAAGTGGCGCGCGCCAGGCTACGGCTTCACGGCCTGCGTGGAGTTCTTCGAGCTCGCCTTCAGCAAGACCTTCGGGCCCCAGGAGCTGAGCCTCCCGTCGCTTCGGGGCCTTTGAAGCCTGCGGGGCTTGCGGGGCCTGCGGGGCGTGTGGGGTTTGGGGGCCTTGGGCTTCTCAAGTCTTAGGAAACCAGCAGTTGGATGGTTCATAGGCTCATTCCCTCATTTGGCTTCTGAGCACCAAGAAAACGGAGCATGGAGACTGGGATTGGGACGCTTTGGGCGGATCTGGAGCAATCTGGTGAGAGGCAAGGCCGTTTTTGTAACTCTTCAAGACGTTGGAGCCCCAAGGCAAACAGACGACTAGCCGGCTCAAGGCTCAAGGTATAGATGTTTCCCAAACGCAGCCTGCACCTTCTCTACGAAAGTGAGAATGTTTGGTATGTCAAAGCAACTTTTGGCGGGACATGTCCTCCAAATCAGCCCTGCCTACAGTCTGCTGCCACTGAGTGTCAAGAACCCTTTCAACGGGGAACTGAAAGGAGGTGGTTCGAACCACAGGCCCTGATCGGTCCCAGCGGACCCCAGTCACTAATTAGTAGAGGAGGCAACCAATGATTTCTTGTTGGGTTTAGGGTAGTGGTTTTGGTTATCCATGCTTACATGAAAAACAATGACAATTTCTTGTTGGGTTTAGGGCCGTTTAGGGCAGTGGTTTGGGTTATCTACGCTCAAATGGGTGTGGCTCAAAATTAAAGAGGGGGGGCAAACCGCAGGTTTTGGTCCATGTTTCCACTGATCAGGGTCCCATTTTGGTACCGGTTTTTTGAGCCACCGCCAAATGGAAGATCACTGACCAAGCGCAAAACGCTTGGCCCAAGCCTGGGCTTCAGGACTCCCTACGGCTCACTTCAGCACTGCTGGGCGGCCAGGCGGGGTCAACATTAAGCCACCAGGGGCCCTGGACCGCAGGATTTAGTCTTTAGTCTTTGGTCCATGGCTTTTTTCATGTTCCATCCTGAAAAAGCCCAAGTCCGGAGACCGGCGAAGCGCCAAGCAAGTGCAACGCCTGGCTGGAAAGAATCCAGGTCCTTGTTGCCCAAGTTGGGTTTCTTCGCATCCCAGCTTGTTTTTCGACATTTTTCGACGCTTACACATCAATTGACCCTGCAATCAGAGTGAGGAGGAGAGCAACCCGTGCAATTGATTGCAACCAGCTTTGTTTTTGCGTTTTTTTTGGCATCTATTTGAGTAGCATGGAGCCAGAATGGTCGGGCTACGGGCTACCAAGATGCTTTGCTTGCAGAGTCCTCCTTAAAGCGAGTGTCGAGAACGTATTGGTGCTACACTGCTTGACATCTCACTATAGCTGACCTAGTTCAGAACAGTCGCTTAAGAAGAGCAGTCTGACTCCTTTTGGGCTTGTTTCGTGGTCTTGCCCTGGCCCGACAAGCCGACACGTCATAACAGTTGTGTTTTTCCCGCTACACCTTGTCGTTCCTTGTCTTTCAGAGGATCTCGTGTAGCCCGACATGTACCCAGCAGATTGAACATTGAAACACATCGAAGCATAGCATCAGCCACATCGGAAAACTTCGAGTACATGCTTCGTCAGAGTTGTGTCGTAGCGACCTGCGCCAAGCACAACCTCCTTTGCGCGTAGGGTGGCACAAGCAGGTGGCATAAGTAAAACCTCCACGTGTGTGACCCTTTTTCATCCTTCCCCCCCTGCAGAACGAGTCCCCGCTGTCCTCTTTAGTGGAAATCCAGGGGGTCTAGGTGGAAATTGGACTTGGTAGTACTTAGTGTAGTATTGCAATACTTAATTTATTATTGCCAAGGCTTACTCTCGGATTCCCAGTACTTTGTTTAGTATTGCCAAGTCCAAATTTAGCATTGCCAAGACTAATTCTCAGAATCCCAGCACTTAGTTGAGTATTGCCCAGTCTAGATTTAATGTTGCCAAGACATTGCCAAGTCTAAATTTAGTACTGCCAAGACTTACTCTCAGATCCCTAGTACCTAACTTAGTATTGCCAGTTCTAAGTTTAGCATGGCCAAGCCGTACTCTCAGATTTGTTTTCCGGCAAAACAGACTTTCTATCAAAGAGGACCCCTAAACAGTCACATCAATCAGGATCAGGGCCTCTTGTGGGCAATCCCCCCTTTGTGTGACTGTTTGCCCTTCCTTTGTTGTAAAGAAATTATCATAAAGTTGATGGGTTGGGGACCACTTCAAAACAGGAATTCTCAGCGCTTGCCCGGATTTGTTTGCCCGTTTTGCGTTGCCCGCCGACCCTTAGCCGGTTTGTGTATGCCCATGTTTTCCCGGCAACAAACAACAATGCTTTCTATGAAAGAGATCAAAGAGGACCGCAAAACACTCACAGGATGCTGAATTAGGAAACAACTTTCTACAAGTGAAACCAAACATGTGCGGCTTAAGCGGGGCGTAAGCAAATGATGCGACATGATGCGCCAAACGTCTATTTGATTCTTTCTTCGCAGGGAACTCTAGGCCCGCCAATGCGTAGCCTTGCATCCCTGGTAGTTTGACGGCCCTTGTCATTAGCCAATCGCAAGGATGGCAAAGGTCATGCGCAAATGATCTCGCAGGCCGGGCGCGGGTTTGAACGTGGCTGTTCGTTTCTGGGCGAATGGAAGGGCGACCTTGTCGCCACATGGAACATCGATATGTTGGTAAGTTACAAGGCTGAGCTTGGGTAAGAAGTGAGCATCGCCATGCGGTTTCCACGTGTAGCTTGCCTGTCACTGCACGCAGAGCTGTAAAATTCTATCGGAGTGATGGATGCCGGCCCGTCTTCTTGATCCTTTTGGGATTGTGTTGAGCACAAGCCAACAAGATGTTGTTTTGTTTTGTGTTTTTTTTGGAGCTCGAATCTGCAGCACCGCAGGTGAAACACTTCAATGCCGAGGTGTTTCAAGCCTTGGCGGAGAAGGTGAAACCAAAGGAGGCTGGACAGAGCGGATTGCTCCCTGAGAGGACCCGTTTAACGCCTTTGTATATTATATATATATATATGCTACCCCCCCCCCAGGTACCCAGGTTTGGGCTTGGTTCAGATGTGCTTTGACCGCGGAAGCAGACAGGAAGAACAGCTCAGATTTGCACACTGGGAGACCAGAGGAAGGAGGTTTGCCTCATTGAAGAAAGACGCCTTGGACGTGACCCATGCCTTTTTTCAATGGCTCTTCCACACAAAATTCAATTCACATATCTTCCCACACAAACCATGCCTTCTTTCAAAGGCTCTTCCACAGATAACTCACATATCTTCCCACACAAACCATGCCTTGTTTCAAAGACTCTTCCACAGAAAATTCACACATCCTCTCACCCAACACATGTCTTTTTACATGTCTTCTTTCAATGAAACAAAGTCAGCATATGTGAAAGAGTTGCCAAGGAAAGGGAACCTTGTGTAGAATAAAGCCAGGCTATGGCTGTGACAGTTTGTGTTACATAAATGGTGGTTTTACATGATATTTACTGTCTTTTGCTGTACTTTTATGAATCACTGTAAGCCTGACTCTTCCACAAAGACTTACATATCATCTCACACAAAACATGTCTTTTTCAATAACTCTTCTCTACAGAAATTCACATATCCTCTCACCCAGAACATGCCTTCTTTCACAAAGGTTCACATATCCTCTCACCAAAACATGCCATTTTTCAAAGGCTCTTCCACAGAAAACTGCCTTCTTTCAAAGACTCTTCCACGGAATATTCACATATAATCTCACACAAAGCATGTCTTTTCAATAACTCTTCTCTACAGACAATTCTTTCATCCTCTCACCCAAAACATGTCTTTTTGCCTGCCTTCTTTCACAAGGAATCACATATCCTCTCACCAAACCCATGCCCTTTTTCAATGGCTCTTCCACACAAAATTCAATTCACAGATCTTCCCACACAAAGCATGCCTTCTTTCAAAGGCTCTTCCACAGATAACTCACATATCTTCCCACACAAACCATGCCTTGTTTCAAAGACTCTTCCACAGAAAATTCACACATCCTCTCACCCAACACATGTCTTTTTACATGTCTTCTTTCAATGAAACAAAGTCAGCATATGTGAAAGAGTTGCCAAGCAAAGGGAACCTTGTGTAGAATAAAGCCAGGCTATGGCTGGGACAGTTTGTGTTACATAAATGGTGGTTTTACATGATATTTACTGTCTTTTGCTGTACTTTTATGAATCACTGTAACCCTGACTCTTCCACAAAGACTCACATATCATCTCACACAAAACATGTCTTTTTCAATAACTCTTCTCTACAGAAAATTCACACATCCTCTGACCCAGAACATGCCTTCTTTCACAAAGGTTCGCATATCCTCTCATCATGCTTCGCAAATGTTGCTCAACATCTGGAATTTGTTGCGCAACATTTCCCTGGACCAAAAAAAACAAAAAACAAAAACAACCAAAGTATATCCCAGCCATGGTGGGGGCTAGGATTGGTTTTTGGTTTTTTGGTTTTTATGTTTTTTGTTTTTGTTTTTTTGGTGTTTTTTTGTTTTTTGGTGTTTTTTGCTTTTTTGGTTTTTTGGTCCACAAAATGGCCTTGCAGAAAATGCATGAGTTCAATCAAAATACACTTTAAATATCAATGGTTTTGATACATGATGCAACAACACCTGGGTACTGGGGGGGGGGGGGGGTACCATATATATATATATATATATACATGTATTACATAATATGTATGTTCCAGGCCGTAGACCCCCCCTTGTGGGGTGGGGTTGGGTTGGGTGGTTGAGGTGTGGTTTGGGGTTGTTTACTGTTGGTTTAGGGTTGGTTTAGGGTTGGTTTAGGGTTTGAGATTCGCCCAGGATTGGCGTCAGATAGTTTGGGGTTGGTTTCGATTAGGGTGGGCGTTAGATTAGGTTGGTTTAGGGTTGGTTAAGCGTGGTGTACGGTGGGTTTAGGTGAGTTTAGGCTTGGTTTGGGTTTGATTTAGAGTTGGTTTAGACTTGAAGACTTCATACTAATAGCGGAAAAAAACAACTAAGAACGGAAAAAAACAACCTAATAACGGAAAAACAAAAACAACTAATCATCAAAAACAAATATCGGAAAACAACAAGGAATACCATTAGCTCTTCTTGAGTATTTCCATTGGCTGCTGGATCATTGTGGTTGTGGCGCATCAGATTCCACCATACGCAGGGAATCCCCTTTCAAGTGATTTTGCTGCCAATCGAGCATGCCTTCGTGAGGGAATCCCCTTTCAAGTGATTTTGCTGCCAATCGAGCATGCCTTCGTGCTGATCGGTGGCACCTGCAGACATCTTGGTGGCAGCTGCAAGCATGGCCTAAAGGAAGGCCTCAGGAAGCATGCCGAGAATCTAAAGGAGAACCAACTGCTGCCTCTGCAGTGGCTGAATGCGCGATCTAGAACATCGCTCCTTGGTGTGGACATGTCGGCGAACCTCATAGAGTTGTGAGGTGTCAGATCTTTTGAGCAAGTTAAGAAGCCCACGGCTAACAGAGCATGCTCGTAGCAGTAGAACCATACCTTGTGCAATTCTTCAATTAGCCGAAATGACTATGTTTTATGCCCCCCAGTTGGTTTTGAAAGGGAATACTGGAAGTATGTGTTGTTTTCCGGGGGGCTTAACTAAGGAAATGGAAGTAATGTTACGCCTTCTTGCGTCTCCAAAGTTGTTTCTGCTTGAAATCTTGTTGTTTACGCCTCCAGTTGCTGCGCTCTTCTTGAGTATTTCCATTGGCTGTTGGCCTATCCTTGGCCATTGGCTGCTGGATCAGTCTTGGCCATTGGCTGCTGGATCATTCTTGGCCATTGGCTGCTGGATCATTCTTGGATCATGCTTGGCCATTGGCTGCTGGATCATTCTTGGATCATGCTTGGCCATTGGCTGCTGGATCATTCTTGGATCATGCTTGGCCATTGGCAGCTGGCTCAAGCATCCATGGAAGCCTATAGAGGGCGAGCCATACAAGATCTCAAAGTCCGAGCCTTGCTTGTGGGCACTGGGGCAGTCTAAGTGTAGCATTGCTGGCAGGTGCTTGAGCTGAAGGGCGAGCTGAGGAAGAGAAAGCTTGCCGTCACAGGCAACAAGCGAGAGTTGGTTTCCCGCTTGCAAAAGGCGCGACATGGACATTTGCATTTGCTAGCTGAGTGACCACCGAAGTTTGCAGGCACTTGCCGAGCACCTTCACGACCAGGATAATGCTGTTGGAGAGCAGGTTGGGGAGCTACAGCCGGAGACTTTGAAGGCAGGTGCGCAAGGCAGTGTCTCTGGCAAGTTTTAGCGGCTCACTGTGCCTTTCAGGGACGGGGGTCAGAGCCGGAAAGCTTGGGGACGGCAGGCGGGCAAGGTGTTTGTTTGGCAGTCACCACAAGAGCTGCGCAGGCGCCTGCTGCGCGCCAGCACGACCAGAAGGACCGGCAGCAGTTTTATATCAGCGTTTTTTCTCGTGCTGTCTATCAGGTTGGGGAGCCACAGCCGGAGACTTTGAAGGCAGGTGCGCATGTTTCTGGCAAGTTTTAGTGGCTCACTGTGCCTTTCAGGGACGCGGGTCAGAGCCAGAAAGCTTGGGGAAGGCAGGCGGGCAAGGTGTTTGTTTGGCAGTCACCACAAGAGCTGCGCAGGCGCCTGCTGCGCGCCAGCACGACCAGAAGGACCGGCAGCAGTTTCACGTCCTGTTTTCGCTTGTGTTGTTTTCAGGTTGGGGCGCCACAGCTGGAGACTTTGGTGAAGGTAGGTGCGCAAGGCAGTGTTTCTGGCACGATTTAGTGGCTCACTGTGCCTTTCAGGGACGGGGGTCAGAGCCGGAAAGCTTGGGGAAGGCAGGGCAAGGTGTTTGTTTGGCAGTCGCCACAAGATCTGCGCAGGCGCGCCAGCACGACCAGAAGGTCAGGCAGCAGTTCACGTCCTGTTTTCGCTTGTGTTGTTTTCAGGTTGGGGCGCCACAGCCGGAGAATTTGAAGGCAGGTGCGCAAGGCAGTGTGTCTTCTGGCCACGATTCAAGTGGGTCAGAGCCGAAAGCTTGGGAAGGCAAGAGCCACAGGTGGGTTTTGTTTGGCAGTCCCGCCAACAAAGAGCTGCGCAAGGGCCTGCTGCGCGCCAGCACGACCAGAAGGACCGGCAGCAGTTTCACGTCCTGTTTTCGCTTGTGTTGTTTTCAGGTTGGGGCGCCACAGCCGGAGACTTTGGTGAAGGCAGGTGCGCAAGGCAGTGTTTCTGGCCCGATTTAGTGGCTCACTGTGCCTTTCAGGGATGGGGGTCAGAGCCGGAAAGCTTGGGGAAGGCAGGGCAAGGTGTTTGTTTGGCAGTCGCCACAAGATCTGCGCAGGAGCGCGCCAGCAACGACCAGGAAGGACAAGCAAGCAGTTTCACGTTCCCTGTTTTTTTTCGCTTGTGTTGTATTCAGGTTGGGGCGCCACCAGCCGTAGTAATGTATTGAAGGCAGGTTGCGCAAAGGCAAGTGGTCTGGCCAAAAATTCTCCCCCGAAAAAAAAAAATTCAGTGGCTCACTGTGCCATTCAGGGGACGGGGGTCAGAGACCGGAAACCTTGGGGAAGGCAGGGCAAGGTGTTTGTTTGGCAGTCACCACACGAGCTGCGCAGGCGCCTGCTGCGCGCCAGCACGACCAGAAGGACAGGCAGCAGTTTCACGTCCTGTTTTCGCTTGTGTTGTTTTCAGGCCGGAGACTTTGGTGAAGGCAGGTGCGCAAGGCAGTGTGTCTGGCACGATTCCAAGTGGCTCACTGAGCCTTTCAGGGGGGAGGGAGCAAAAAACCAAATAAATAAAAAAAAAACCTAAAAAAAAAAAAAAAAACGGGGTCAGAGCCCGAAAGCTGGGGAATGCCCAGGCCAAGGTGAGTGTTTGGCAGCCACCACAAAAAAGCTGCAGCGCAGGGCCTGCTGCGCGCCAGCACGAACCAAAGGAAAACCGCAAAAGCTAGTTTCAAACGT